GAACTGGAATGAACTGGGAGCTACTGGGGCCCTGCGATCCCAAACCAGCCCCGTTTTTAATGGGAATTTTTCATTTTTTTGGGGAATTTTCCCAGGAAAAGTCGGAATTCGGCTGCTCACACCGGTCTGGGATTGGGGATGGTGCCCCTGACCCAGAGGAGGAACTGGGATGAACTGGGATGAACTGGGATGAACTGGGATAAACTGGGGCCCCGCGATCCCAAACCAGCCCCGTTTTTAATGGGAATTTTTGGATTTTTCTCAGAAATTTCCATTTTTATGGGATTTTTCCCAGGAAAAGTCGGAATTCCAGCTGCTCACACTGGTCCAGGGGTGGGGGCACGCTGCCCTTGACCCAGGGCGTGTGGTCGTCCACCATGTTGATGGTCAGGTTTGGGTGCCAGTGGGAAATGACCTCGACCGGCCCGAAATCCTCGGCCCTCTGCAAGGGAAAATCACAGGATTGGCAGAAAAACCCCCCAAAAAATGTAAAAATATTTAAAAAAAACCAAAAAAACAAAAAAAACTCCAAAAAAAACCTCAACAGCCCCCCCAAAAAAACAAAAAAAAAAAAACCCCACACCCTCAAAGAAAAAATAAAATAAAAAAACCCAAACAAGCCCCAAAAAATCACCCCAAAAGCAAAACAAAAAAAAATCCCCCAAAATGCTAAAAAAATCCCCCAAAAAAACACCAAAAATGCTAAAAAGATCCCCCCAAAAAATCCCCCCAAAATCTCAAAAAAACCCCTCCAAAACCCTAAGAAAAATCCCCAAAAATGCCCCCAAAAAACCCCAAGCAAGTCCCCCAAAAATGCTTAAAAAAACCTCTAAAATATCCCAAAAAATCCCTAAAAAGTCAAAAAAATCCCCCCAAAAAGTCCCACAAAAAACCCCAACAAATCAAAAAAAATTCCCCCCAAAAATTCCTCCAAATGCCAAAAAAATCCCATAAAATCCCCCCAAAAAATCCCCCAAAAGCAAAAAAAAATTTTAAAAAGCCCCCAAAGTGCTAAAAAGATCCCAAAATAATCCTCCCCGAAATCTCAAAAAAACCCCACCAACAATCCTAAGAAAAATCCCCAAAAATGCCCAAAAATCCCCAAAATAAACTAAAATTTTAAAATCCCAAAAAATCGCCAAAAAACCCTTCAAAATCCCAAGAAAATCTCCAAAAATCCCCAAAATCCCCTAAAAAAAACACAAAAATCCCACAAAAATCCCACAAAAATCCCCCCAAAGAAACCCAAAATCCCTAAAAAAAACCCCCAAAATTCCCAAAAATTCCCAAATCTGGGAATTCCCACCTTGATCATCTCGGGGTCGGCCTCGGTCTCCCCCGTCAGGAGATTTTTGGTTTTCTGGAATCGCCTCCGTTTGTATTTGTTGATCACTGGGGAAAAAAGGGGGAAAAAAGGGGGAAAATGGGAAAATGGTATTTGGGAAAAATCAGATCCCTCCCATTCCTGAGGGATTTGGATCCCAAAATTCAGGAATTCGTGGGAATTCTCCCATTCCTGAGGGGATTTGGATCCCAAAATTCAGGAATTCCTGGGAATTCCCCCATTCCTGAGGGGATTTGGATCCCAAAATTCAGGAATTCGTGGGAATTCTCCCATTCCTGAGGGATTTGGGGCCATTCCTGAGGGGATCTGGATCCCATACATGGGAATTCCTGGGAATTCTCCCATTCCTGAGGGGATTTGGATCCCAAAATTCAGGAATTCGTGGGAATTCTCCCATTCCTGAGGGGGATTTGGGGCCATTCCTGAGGGGATTTGGGGCCATTCCTGAGGGGATTTGGGGCCATTCCTGAGGGGGATTTGGGGCCATTCCTGAGGGGATTTGGATCCCAAAGGCTGAGAATTCTTGGGAAATGGTTGAGAATTCCCAGGAATTTTCAGGAATTTTCAGGAATTTTCCGGAATTCCCGAGTTTCCGTACTCCTGGAGCTGTGCACAGTGCCCAGGGCTGATCCCAACACCATTCCTGAGGGGATCTGGGGCCATTCCTGAGGGATTTGGATCCCAAAGGTCAGGAATTCCCAGGAATTTCCCTGGAATTTTCAGGAATTCCCAGGAATTCCCGTGTTCCCGTACTCCTGGAGCTGTGCACGGTGGCCAGGGCTGATCCCAGCCCCATTCCTGAGGGGATTTGGGGCCATTCCTGAGGGGGATTTGGGGCCATTCCTGAGCGGGATTTGGGGCCATTCCTGAGGGATTTGGGGCCATTCCTGAGGGGATTTGGATCCCAAAGGCTGGGAATTCTTGTGAAATGGTTGAGAATTCCCAGGAATTCCCAGGAATTTTCAGGAATTTTCCGGAATTCCCGAGTTTCCGTACTCCTGGAGGTGTGCACGGTGGCCAGGGCCGATCTGAGCCCCATTCCTGAGGGGATTTGGGGCCATTCCTGAGGGATTTGGGGCCATTCCTGAGGGGATTTGGGGCCATTCCTGAGGGGGATTTGGGGCCATTCCTGAGGGGGATCTGGGGCCATTCCTGAGGGATTTGGGCCCATTCCTGAGGGGATTTGGATCCCAAAGGTCAGGAATTTCCCCGGAATTCCCAGAAATTTCCAGGAATTCCTGAGTTTCCGTACTCCTGGAGGTGTGCACGGTGGCCAGGGCCGATCTGAGCCCCATTCCTGAGGGGGATTTGGGGCCATTCCTGAGGGGATTTGGGGCCATTCCTGAGGGGGATTTGGATCCCAAAGGTCAGGAATTCCCAGGAATTCCCAGAAATTTTCAGGAATTCCCAGGAATTCCCGTGTTCCCGTACTCCTGGAGCTGTGCACTGTGGCCAGGGCTGATCCCAGCCCCATTCCTGAGGGGATTTGGGGCCATTCCTGAGGGGATTTGGATCCCAAAGGCTGGGAATTCTTGGGAAATGGTTGAGAATTCCCATGAATTTTCAGGAATTTTCCGGAATTCCCGAGTTCCTGTACTCCTGGAGCTGTGCACGGTGGCCAGGGCTGATCCCAGCCCCATTCCTGAGGGGATTTGAGGCCATTCCTGAGGGGGATTTGGGGCCATTCCTGAGGGGATTTGGGGCCATTCCTGAGGGGATTTGGATCCCAAAGGTCAGGAATTTTCAGGAATTTCCCTGGAATTTTCAGGAATTCCCAGGAATTCCCGTGTTCCCGTACTCCTGGAGCTGTGCACAGTGCCCAGGGCTGATCCCAGCCCCATTCCTGAGGGAATTTGGGGCCATTCCTGAGGGATTTGGGGCCATTCCTGAGGGGATTTGGATCCCAAAGGTCAGGAATTTTCAGGAATTTCCCCGGAATTTTCAGGAATTCCCAGGAATTCCCGTGTTCCTGTACTCCTGGAGCTGTGCACAGTGCCCAGGGCTGATCCCAGCCCCATTCCTGAGGGGATCTGGGGCCATTCCTGAGGGGATCTGGGACCATTCCTGAGGGGATTTGGATCCCAAAGGTCAGGAATGGCTGGGAATTCCCAGGAATTTTCCGGAATTTCCCCAGAATTCCCGGGAATTTCCCGGAATTCCCAGATTTCCGTACTCCTGGAGGTGTGCACGGTGGCCAGGCGCCGGTAGAGGCTCTTCTGCCGCGGGTCGGGGTGGAAGCCGCTCTTGGTGAAGTAAACGTGGACGTAGATGGAGCCGTTCCTCTGCACGCTCTGGGGAGATCCAGGGGGAAAAAAAACAGGGAAAAGGTTGGGAAAACCACGGGGAAAAACTGGGAAAAATCTTGGAAAAAAACCCCGAAAAACCCTGGGGAAAACTATGAAGAAAACCCAGCAGAAAAAGCCAGAAACAGCCCAGAAAAAAACCCTGGGAAAATCGCAGAAAAAAGCTGGGAAAATCCCAGAAAAAAACTGGGAAAATCGCAGAAAAAAACCTCGAAAAAATCCCCCATTCTGGCCCTTTTCAAGACCCCAGAATTCCCAAAATTCCCGGAATTCCCAGCTGGGAGATGATGCCCACCTCCCCATAGCACTCATAGCAACAACTGGGGTCAGAATTCCCTTTCCATAATCCCAAATTTCCTTTTCCTGACCCCAAATCTCCATTCCCAGAGCCCAGATCCCCTCAGAACCATCCCAAATCCCCATTTCCAGACCCCAGAATTCCCAAAATCCCCCAGAATTCCCAAAATTCCAAAATTCCCACCTGGGAGATGATGCCCACCTCCCCGTAGTGCTCGTAGCAGCCATTGGAATTCCCTTTTTCCCAAGCCCAAATATCCATTCCAAGAGCCCAAATCCCCTCAGAACCATCCCAAATGCCCTTTTCCCGACCCCAGAATTCCCAAAATCCCCCAGAATTCCTGGAATCCCCACCTGGGAGATCTCCACTTCCCTGTAGTGCTCGTAGCATCCATCAGAATTCCCTTTGCCCAATCCCAAATTCCCTTTTCCTGACCCCAAACCTCCATTCCAAGAGCCCAAATCCCCTCAGAACCATCCCAAATCCCCATTTCCAGACCCCAGAATTCCCAAAATCCCCCGGAATTTTGGGAATCCCCACCTGGGAGATGTCCACCTCCCCGTAGTGCTCGTAGCATCCGTCCGAGTTCTCTCCGCTGGTCCAGTCCCCGTAGACCAAATCCCGTTTTTCCCAGAAAAGGGCGGAGCTGACGTTGAAATCCGTAAAGTGCTCGTGCTCCGAGATGTAAACGTAGAGATCCTGTGGGAAGGAGGCCCAAAAATTCAGGAAATTTGTCCCAAAAATCCCCGGGAATTCGTCCTAAAAATCCCCGGGAATTCGTCCTAAAAATCCCCGGGAATTTGTCCTAAAAATTCCCGGGAATTCAGCCCAAAAATCCCAGGAATTCAGCCCAAATATCCGAGAAATTCAGCCCAGAAATTCCTGGAAATTAAGCTCAAAATTCCTGGAATTTGTCCCAAAAATTCCCAGGAATTCAGCCCCAAAATCCCTGAGAATTTGTCCCAAAAATTCACAGGAATTCATCCTAAAAATTCCCAGGAATTCAGCCTAAATATCCGGGAAATTCAGCCCAGAAATTCCTGGAATTCAGCCCCAAAATCCTGAGAATTTGTCCCAAAACTTCCTGGGGATTCATCCTAAGAATTCCCGGGAATTCAGCCCAAAAATCCTGAGAATTCAGCTCAAAAATCCTGAGAATTTGTCCCAAAATTTCCTGGGAATTCATCCTAAAAATTCCCAGGAATTCAGCCCAAAAATCCTGGAAATTCAGCCCAAAAATCCTGGGAGTTCAGGCCAAAAATCCCAGGAGTTAATTCCAAAAATCAGTGGGAATTCATCCTAAAAAATCCTGGGAATTCATCCCAAAAATCTCTGGGAATTCATCCTAAAAAACCCCCTGGGAACGGTCCCCAGGATCATTGGGATCCCAGATTTGGGATCTGACCCCAAAATCTCCCCCAGATTTGGGATTTGACCCCAAAATCTCCCCCAGATTTGGGATCTGACCCCGAAATCCCCTCCAAATTTGGGATCTGATCTCAAATCCCAACCCCAAATCCCCAAATCCCAAATCCCAATCCCAAATCTGATCCCAAATCCCCCTGACCATGAGTGCGTCCTTGGGGAAGAGGTTCCTGCTGGGGCTCCAGGTTCTGATCCCAGATTTTTCCCCCAATCCCAGATTTCTCCCCAAATCCCAACCCCAGTCCCAAATCCCAAATCCCATAATCCCAATCCCAATCCCAAAATCCCAATCCCACCATCAGGGTGTCCTTAGGGAAGAGGTTCCTGCTGGGGCTCCAGGTTCTGATCCTATGGATCCAATCCCAGATTTCCTCCCCTGATCCCAATCCCAGATCTGATCCCAAATCCCAAATCCCCAATCCCCAACCCCAAATCCCCAATCCCCAATCCCAAATCCCATAATCCCATAATCCCAATCCCACCATCAGGGTGTCCTTGGGGAACAGGTTCCTGCTGGGCTCCAGGTTCTGATCCCAGCCCCAGGGTCTGATCCCAGATTTTCCCTCCAATCCCAAATCCCCAATCCCCAATCCCAAATCCCAAATCCCATAATCCCATAATCCCAATCCCACCATCAGGGTGTCCTTGGGGAACAGGTTCCTGCTGGGGCTCCAGGTTCTGATCCCAGCCCCAGGTTCTGATCCCAGATTTTCCCCCCAATCCCAAATCCCCAATCCCCAATCCCATAATCCCCAATCCCCAATCCCAAATCCCAAATCCCAAATCCCATAATCCCAATCCCACCATCAGGGTGTCCTTGGGGAACAGGTTCCTGTTGGGGCTGCGGGCGCTGATCCCAGCCCCAGGATCTGATCCAAGATCCAAGTTCTGACCCCAGATTTCCCCCCAATCCCAAATCCCAATCCATAATCCCCAATCCCAAATCCCAAATCCCAAATCCCATAATCCCACAATCCCAATCCCACCATCAGGGTGTCCTTGGGGAGCAGGTTCCTGCTGGGGCTCCAGGTTCTGATCCCAGCCCCAGGGTCTGATCCCAGATTTTCCCTCCAATCCCCAATCCCCAATCCCCAATCCCAAATCCCAAATCCCAATCCCACAATCCCAATCCCACCATCAGGGTGTCCTTGGGGAACAGGTTCCTGCTGGGGCTGCGGGCGCTGCCCCCGTTCCCGCTGCTCTCCTGCGTTGCCGGCGCTCTCCGGAACCAGCTGGAGATGGCCCAGATGATGAAAATCCTGCGGGAAAAGCGGGAAAATGATCCCAGGCCTGGGATTTGGGGTCTTGGGGTGATCCTGATCCCGGGATTTGGGGTTCCAGGATGGTCCCAGTCCTGGGGTGATCCCAGGCCTGGGATCTGGGGTCCTGGGGTGGTCCCAGGCCTGGGATTTGGGCTCCTGGGGGGATCCCAGAGTGATCCTGATCCTGGGATTTGGGCTCCTGGGGCGATCCTGATCCCAGGATTTGGGGTTCCAGGATGGTCCCAGTCCTGGGGTGATCCCAGGCCTGGGATTTGGGGTCCTGGGGTGATCCCAATCCCAGGGTTTGGGGTCCTGGGGTGATCCTGATCCTGAGATTTGGGGTTCCAGGATGATCCCAGTCCTGGGGTGATCCCAATCCCAGGGTGATCCCAATCCCAGGATTTGGGGTCCTGGGGTGATCCCAATCCCAGGATTTGGGGTTCCAGGGTGATCCCGATCCCAGGGTTTGGGGTTCCAGGATGGTCCTGGATCGATCCAAATCCCAGAATCTGGATTGATCCCAGTCCTGGGGTGATCCCAATCCCAATCCCAATCCCAATCCCAATCCCAATCCCAATCCCAATCCCAGACTGATCCCAGGATTTGGGGTCCTGGGGTGATCCCAATCCCAGGGTTTGGGGTCCCAGGATGATCCCAGTCCTGGGGTGATCCCAATCACAGGATTTGGGGTTCCAGGATGGTTCTGGATCGATCCAAATCTCAGAATCTGGATTGATCACCCCAGTCCTGGGGTGATCCCGATCCCAGGACTTGGGGTCCTGGGGTGATCCCAGGGTGATCCTGATCCTGAGATTTGGGGTTCCAGGATGATCCCAGTCCTGGGGTGATCCCAATCCCAGGATTTGGGGTTCCAGGGTGATCCCGATCCCAGGGTTTGGGGTTCCAGGATGGTTCTGGATTGATCGAAATCCCAGAATTTGGATTGATCCCAGTCCTGGGGTGATCCCAATCCCAATCCCAATCCCAGACTGATCCCAGGGTTTGGGGTCCTGGGGTGATCCCAATCCCAATCCCAGACTGATCCCAGGGTTTGGGGTCCCAGGATGATCCCAGCCCTGGGGTGATCCCAGTCCCAGACCCCAGGATTTGGGGTCCCAGGGTGATCCTGACCCCAACCCCTTTAACCCCTTCAGTCCCAAACCTCACCTGAACAGGGCCCCTTTAACCCCTTCAGCCCCAAACCTCACCCGAACAGGGCCCCTTTAACCCCTTCAGTCCCAAACCCCACCTGAACAGGGCCCCTTTAACCCCTTCAGTCCCAAACCCCACCTGAACAGGGCCCCGTTAACCCCTTCAGTCCCAAACCTCGCCTGAACAGGGCCCCTTTAACCCCTTCAGTCCCAAACCTCGCCTGAACAGGGCCCCTTTAACCCCTTTAACCCCTTCGGTGCCGCTCTCACCTGAACAGGACGCCCTTCACCACCTGCCAGGCGTTCGGTGCCGGCTGCTGCTGCTGCTGCTGCCCCTGAGGGCTCTCGGGGCCAGCGCCGGTACCGGTGCCGGCAGCGCCGTTACTGCTGGAAACCTGCGGGACCAGAACTGGAACCAGTCAGTGACACCGGTACCGTTATTGACCCCATCCTAACCCTGATCCCTTCCCAACCCCATCCCGGTACCGGTACCAGCAGCGCCGTTACTGCTGGACACCTGTGGGAATGGAACCGGATCCGGTCACTGACACCGGTACCGACCCAGTACCGACCCCATCCTAACCCTGATCCCATCCCGGTACCGGTCCTAGCGGTGCCGTTACTGCTCGGCACCGGGACAGGCACCAGTCACTGACACCAGCCCGGTACCGATCCCTTCCCAGTCACCGTTCCGGTACCGACCCCATCCCGGTCACCGGCCCCTTCCTGCTCTCAGTCCCGGTCCCGTTCCCGCAGCTGTTCCCAGTCCCCATCCCGGTCCCGGTCTCGTTCTCTGACGCTGTCCCTGGTCCCGTTCCCCATCCCGGAGCTGTCCTGGTCTCGGTCCCGTTCTCTGCCCCGATCTTGGTTCTGGATCCCTTCCCCCGTTCCCATCCCTGGTCTCGGCCCTGTCCCGTCCCGGTCCCGTTCTCTGCCCTCTTCCCGGTTCTGGTTCCGTTCTCTCCTCCTGCCCCGCTCCCCGCTCTCGGTCCCTCCCCCAGTCCCGGTCCCCGACTTTGACCCCGGACCTTGCCCCATTCCCGGTCCCCGTGCCTGCCCTCAGACCTGCCCCGCTCCCATTCCCCGCTCTCCCATCCCGGTCTCCGGTACCGTTCCCGTTCCCCGCTCTCGGTCCCGGTGCCCGGTCCCGATCCCCGTCCCTGTCTCTGTCCCTTTTCCAGTCTCCGGTGCCGCTCCCGTTCCCTGTCCCCGTTCCCGTTCCCTGTCTCCAGTCCCGGTTCCCGCTCTCGGTCCTGGTTCTCGGTCCCCGCTCCGGTTCCCGCTGCCCCTCTCCCTTCTCGGGCCCGGTTTCCCGCTGTCCCTGCCCGCCCGTTCCCGTTCCCGGTGCCGCCCCCGGGCCCCGCGGGCCCCGCTCGCTCCCGGACCTGCCCCGGGCCCGGGCCCGGCCCCGCCGCCGCCTCCGTCCCCGGCGCCGCCATCTTTGCTGCGCCGCCTCTCGCGAGACTTCCGGGGGCAGCGCCCACGTGACCTCAATGAGGGGCGGGAAAGTGCACAAACCGCGCCCATTTCGTGACGTCACAAGAACATGCACCAATAGCAGCGCGGCCCGCCCCCGGCGGGAGGGGGTTTCCCCGCCCCGCCCCCTCCGCCGCGCTCAGCCAATGGGAGCGCGCCCCGCCCCCAGCGCTCTCCCCGGGGGTGTTCCCTACAGTGACGTCACCGGCACGCTCAGCCAATGGCGGCGCGGTGCGCTCCCGGTGGGGGTTTCCCCGACCGCGCCCCCGGTGGTGACGTCACGGCGGGCTCAGCCAATGGCGGCGCGGCCCGCGCGGGGATTTCCAGGTCCGGCGGCGGCGCGGCCTCGGGGGGCGGCGGCGGGAGCGGCACCGGCAGCTCCGGGACCCGCACCGGGACCCGCACCGGGACCCGCACCGGGAGCCGCACCGGGAGCGGGACATGGCGCTGCCGCTCGGTGAGCGCCGCCCCGGGGGAGCGGAACCGGGGATCGCCCCCGGTGGCAGAGCCGGGACCGGCCCGGGGGAAGCGCAACCGGCCCGGGGGGAGCGGAACCGGCTCGGGGGGAGCGGAACCGGGGATCCCCCCCGGTGGCAGAAGCGGCACCTCCCGAGGGGTCACGGGGGGATAACGGGGCGGTCGCGGGGCTCGGGGCGGTCCCGGTTGGGCGCCGGTGCCGGGGGTAGCGCGGCTTTACCGGGGTCGCTCCTTTCGGGGTGTCCCGGTGGCGCTGCCGGTGCTGACGCCGCCATCCCGGTGCCGTGTCCCGGTAGGAGCCGCCGTGCCGGATCCCGGGCTGGCGATGGCTCACGGAGCACCGGGCACAGGTAAAGTCCCGCTCCCGGTGTCCCCTCCCGCTCGGGGACTCCTCACGGGATCGCTTTTCCCGGTTTTCCCCCCGTTTCTCCCGGTTTTCCCCCGGTTTCTCCCGGTTTTCCCCCGTTTCTCCCGGTTTTCCCCCCGTTTCTCCCGGTTTTTCCCCCGTTTCTCCCGGTTTTTCCCCGTTTCTCCCAATATTCCCTTTTTTCCTCGGTTTTCCCCCGGTGTTTTCCGATTTCCCCCCGTTTCTCCCGATTTTCCCGGTTTTTTCCTCCCGTTTTCCTCGATTTTTCCCTAATTTTCCCCGTTTTCCCCCAATTTCCCCCCGTTTTCCCCAATTTCCCCCCGTTTCTCCCGGTTTTTCCCTGTTTTCCTCGGACTTTTTCCTGTTTCTCTCGGTTTTTCCCGTTTCCCCCCGGTTTTTCCCCGTTTCTCCCGATTTTCCCCCCGTTTCCCCCGGTTTTCCCCGTTTCTCCCCCGTTTTTCCCGGTTTTCCTCCGTTTCTCTCCCGATTTTCCCGGTTTCCCTCCCTTTTTTCCCCGTTTTTCCCCTCGGTTTTTCCCGGTTTTTTCCCGGTTTCCCCGTTTCTCCCCCGTTTTTCCCGGTTTTTCCCCGTTTCTCCCGATTTTTCCCGTTTTCCAGATGATTTGGGTGAGTGGAACCGCGGGGATTCGGAATCTGCGCCACCTCCCGGGAATTTCGGGATCCTGGAGCCGCACGGAGGAATCCGGGAATTCGGGAATTCGGGGGAATTTGGGAATTTTGGGAATTCGGGATTTTGGGATTTTGGGATTTTGGGAATTCGTGATTTCAGGGATTTGCGAATTCGGGATTTTTGGGAATTTGGAAATTCAGGATTTTTGGGAATTCGGGGAGGGGTCGGGTCCCATCCTGGGGGGAATCGGGGCGGGGAGCGCCGAGATCGATCCCAAATTTTGGACCTGAATCCCAGAAATCCCTCCCGGCTTTGGGATCTGGGCTGGAATTCCCTCCCGAACCCCCCGAAATTCCCGATTTTTCCCCCGAAATTCCCGATTTTCCCCCCAAAATTCCCAGTTTTCCTCCCAGAACCTCCCCTAAAATCCCAGTTTCCCTCCAGAAATCCTCCCCAAACCCCCCGAAATTCCCGATTTTCCCCCCAGAACTCCTCCCAAAACTCCCCGAAAATTCCTGTTTTTTCCCCCCAAACCCCCCGAAATTCCCGGGTTTTCCCCCGAAATTCCCGTTTTTTCCCCCCGAACCCCCCCCCCCGATATCCCCGTTTTCCCCCCAAACCCCCCGAAATTCCCGATTTTCCCCCCAGAACTCCTCTCAAACCCGCCGAAATTCCCGATCTTCTCCCCAGAACTCCTCCCAAAACTCCCCGAAAATTCCCGTTTTTTCCCTCCAAACCCCCCGAACTCCCCGTTTTTCCCCCCGAAATCCCCGTTTTTCCCCGAACCCCCCGAAATCCCCGTTTTTCCCCGAACCCCCCGAAATCCCCGTTTTTCCCCCCTAAACCCCGCCGAAATCCCCGTTTTTTGCCCCCAAACCGCCCCTAACTCCCCGTTTTTCCCCCCAAACCCCCCGAAATTCCCGATTTTCCCCCCAGAACTCCTCCTAAAACTCCCCGAAATTGCCGGGTTTTCCTCCCAAACCCCCTGAAATTCCCGCGTTTTCCCCCGAATTTCCCGGTTTTTTTCCCCAAAATTCCCGATTTTCCCCCCAGAACTCCTCCCGAAACCCCCCGAAATCCCCGTTTTTCTCCCCGAAATCCCCGTTTTCCCTCCGTTTTCTCCCCCGAACTCGCCGTTTTTCCCCCGATATCCCCGTTTTTCCCCCCGAAATCCCCGTTTTCCCTCCGTTTTCCCCCCCGAAATCCCCGTTTTTCCCCCCGATATCCCCGTTTTTCCCCCCGAACTCCCCGAACTCCCCGTTTTTCCCCCCCGATATCCCCGTTTTTCCCCCTGAACTCCCCGTTTTTCCCCCCGAACTCCCCGTTTTCCCCCCCGAAATCCCCGTTTTTCCCCCGATATCCCCGTTTTTCCCCCGAAATCCCCGTTTTTTCCCCCCGAAATCCCCCTTTTTCCCCCCCATATCCCCGTTTTTTCCCCCCAAACCCCCCGAAATTCCCGTTTTTTTCCCCCCGAACTCCCCGTTTTTTCCCCCCAAACCTCCCGAAATTCCCGATTTTTCCCCCAGAACTCCTCCTAAAACTCCCCGAAATCCCCGTTTTTCCCCCCAAACCCCCCGAACTCCCCGTTTTTCCCCCGAACTCCCCGTTTCTCGCGCAGAGATCCTGGAGGAGGTGATGAAGGAGGACGGCTTCCAGCCCGAGGCCGCTGCCGAGGCTCCCCGGGCCCTGCCCCGTTTGGTCCCGCGCGGTTCCGCCCCCGGCGCCGCCCGGGAGCCGCCGCTGGCCCGGAGCCTCCGCGGGCTCTCGCTGGGGCCCCGCGAGCGGCTGGAGAAGCTGGAAAAGATGGAAAAGATGGAAAAGATGGAAAAGATGGAGAAGATGGAGAAGTTTGAGAAGCTGGAAAGGGCGGGGAGGCCGCGCTTGGTGATCACGGAGCAGCCGAAGCAGCGCGGGATGAGATTCCGGTACGAGTGCGAGGGGAGATCGGCCGGGAGCATCCTCGGGGAAAACAGCACCGAGAGCAACCGCACCCTGCCCAGCATCGAGGTGGGAAATGGGGGAAAATGGGGGGAAAATGGGGAAAAAATGGGGAAAAAATCGGGGAAAAAATGGGGGAAAGAATGGGGAAAAAATGGGGAAAAAATCGGGGAATATAGGCGGAAAATCGGGGAAAACAGCACCGAGAGCAACCGCACCCTGCCCAGCATCGAGGTGGGAAAATGGGGGAGAAAATGGGAAAAATTGGGGGAAAAAACCCGGGAAAATCGGGGAAAAAAACTGGGAAAAATTGAGGTGAAAATGGGGGGAAAATGGGGAAAAAATCGGGGAAAACAGCACCGAGAGCAACCGCACCCTGCCCAGCATCGAGGTGGGGAAATGGGGGAAAAATGGGGGGAAAATGGGGAAAAAAAACTGGGGAAAAATGGGGAAAAAAAACTGGGGAAAAAATCGGGGAAAAAATCGGGAAAAAATGGGGAAAAATCGGGGAAAAATGGGGAAAAAATCGGGGAAAACAGCACCGAGAGCAACCGCACCCTGCCCAGCATCGAGGTGGGGAAATGGGGGAAAATGGGGGAAAATCGGGGAAAAAATGGGGAAAAAATCGGGGAAAAAATGGGGAAAAAATGGGAAAAAAAACCTGGGGTAAATTGGGGAAAAAAGGGGGAAAAAAAGGGGGAAAAAATCGGGGAAAACAGCACCGAGAGCAACCGCACCCTGCCCAGCATCGAGGTGGGGAAATGGGGGAAAATGGGGGGAAATCGGGGAAAAAAATGGGGAAAATTGGGGGGAAATCGGAAAAAATCGGGGGAAGAATCGGGCAAAAAATCGGGAAAAAATCGGGGAAAAAAACTGGGAAAAATTGGGGTGAAAATTGGGGAAAAATCGGGGGAAATTGGGGAAAACAGCACCGAGAGCAACCGGACCCTGCCCAGCATCGAGGTGGGGAAATGGGGGAAATGGGGGGAAAAATGGGGAAAAAATTGGGAAAAAATCGGGGGGAAATCGGGGAAAATATCAGGGGAAAATTGTGTAAAAATCGGAAAAAAAATCGGGAAAACCCGTGAGAAACTGGGAAAAAATGGGGAAAAAAACTGGGAAAAAGTCGGGGGCGGGTTGGGATGGATTTGGGGGATTTTGGGTTGAATTTTCCCCTGAACTTCATCCAGATTTCCCCGTGATTTTCCCCAATTTCCCCCAACTTTCCCCCATTTTTCCCCCTGACTTTTCCCAACTTTCCCCATTTTTCCCATGATTTTCTCAACTTTCCCCCTGACTTTCCTGAACTTTTGCCCGATTTCTCCCCCCAATTTTCTCCCCTGACTTTCCCCACTTTTCCCCCAATTTCCCCCAATTTCCCCCCGATTTTCCCCACTTTTCCTCCATTTTTTCCCCCATTTTCCCCCCAATTTTCCCCAATTTCCCCCCATTTTCCCCCCAATTTCCCCAATTTCCCCCCAATTTTCCCCCCCAATTTCCCCCCCACTTTTCCCCCAATTTTCACCACTTTTCCCCCCAATTTCCCCCATATTTCCCCCCCCAATTTCCCCCAATTTTCCCCCCGATTTTCCCCCATTTTTCCCCCTGACTTTCTCCAATTTCCCCCATATTTCCCCCCAATTTCCCCCAATTTTCCCCCCGATTTTCCCCCATTTTTCCCCCTGACTTTCTCCAATTTCCCCCCAATTTCCCCCCAATTTCCCCCCTATTTCCCCCCGATTTTCCCCACTTTTTCCCCCATTTCCCCCCCCATTTTCTCCCCAATTCTCCCCCATTTTTTCCCCCATTTTCCCCCCATTTTTTCCCCCCATTTTCCCCCCGATTTCCCCCCAATTTCCCCCTGACTTTCCCCACTTTTCCCCCATTTTTTCCCCCCAATTTTCCCCCGATTTCCCCCCAATTTCCCCCTGACTTTCCCCACTTTTCCCCCATTTTTTCCCCCAATTTTCCCCCGATTTTCCCCCAATTTCCCCCCTGACTTTCCCCACTTTTCCCCCATTTTTCCCGCCCAATTTCCCCCCGATTTTCCCCCAATTTCCCCCCTGATTTCCCCCAATTTACCCCCCCCCCCCATTTTCCCCCATTTCCCCCTGACTTTCCCCCATTTTTCCCCCCAATTTTCCCCCTGACTTTCCCCCCGATTTCCCCCCAATTTTCCCCCTGACTTTCCCCACCTTTCCCCCTCTGGCTTTTCCCAATTTCCCCCAATTTCCCTCCAATTTCCCCCTGACTTTCCCCACTTCTTTCCCCCATTTTTTCCCCCCAATTTTCCCCCCGATTTCCCCCCGATTTTCCCCCCAATTTTCCCCCCTGACTTTCCCCAATTCCCCCATTTTTCCCCCCATTTTCCCCCCAATTTCCCCCAATTTCCCCCCATATTTTCCCCCCCATTTCCCCCCAATTTCCCCCCAATTTCTTTCCCCCCAATTTTCCCCCATATTTCCCCGCAGCTGCTGAACTGCCAGGGCATCCCGGAGGTGGCGGTCACGGCGTGCCTGGTGTGGAAGGATTGGCCCCACCGGGTGCACCCGCACGGCCTCGTGGGCAAGGACTGCGCCCAGGGGCTCTGCCGGGTGCTGCTGCGGCCCCACAGCAACCCCCCGCCACAGGTCAGCCCCCCAAATCCCAAAAAAAACCCAAATTCCGGGCATTTTTCTGGGAATTTTCCCGTTTTTCGGGCGTTTTTTGGGCGTTTTTCGGGCATTTTTTGGGCGGTTTTTGGGCTCTGCCTGGTGCTCCTCAAGCCCCAAACCCATCCCAAGCACAATAAAAATCTGGGAATATTCCTTGGGTTGGAGCCCATTGGAATTTTCCAGAATTTTCCAGAATTATTCCAAATTTCCCAGCATTTTTGGGGCATTTTTGGGCATTTTTGGGCGGTTTTTGGCTGCAGGGACTGCGCCCAGGGGCTCTGCCGGGTGCTCCTCAGCCCCACAGCAACCCCTGCCACAGGTCAGCCCCCAAATCCCAAAAAAAACCCGAATTTTGGGGATTTTCTGGGAATTTTCCCGTTTTTTCTGGAGATTTTTGGGCATTTTTGGGGCATTTTCTGGGAATTTTCCCGTTTTTCGGGCATTTTTTGGGTGTTTTTTGGGCATTTTTCAGGCTTTTTTCGGGCGGTTTTTGGGCTCTGCCTGGTGCTCCTCAAGCCCCAAACCCATCCCAAGCACAACAAAAATCTGGGAATATTCCTTGGGTTGGAGCCCATTGGAATTTTCCGGAATTATTCCCAATTTTCCTGCATTTTTGGGGCATTTTTGGGGCATTTTTGGGGCATTTTTGGCTGCAGGGACTGCGCCCAGGGGCTCTGCCGGGTGCTCCTCAGGCCCCACAGCAACCCCCGCCACAGGTCAGCCCCCAAATCCCAAAAAAACCGGGTATTTTGGGGATTTTCTGGGAATTTTCCCGTTTTTCTGGAGATTTTTTGGGCATTTTTAGGGCATTTTCTGGGAATTTTCCCGTTTTTTGGGCGTTTTTTGGGTGTTTTTTGGGCATTTTTCAGGCATTTTTCGGGCGTTTTTTGGGCTCTGCCTGGTGCTCCTCAAGCCCCAAACCCAACCCAAGCACAACAAAAATCTGGGGAATATTCCTTGGGTTGGATCCCATTGGAATTTTCCAGAATTATTCCCAATTTTCCAGCATTTTTGGGGCATTTTTGGGCGGTTTTTGGCTGCAGGGACTGCGCCCAGGGGCTCTGCCGGGTGCTCCTCAGGCCCACAGCAACCCCTGCCACAGGTCAGCCCCCCAAATTTTAAAAAACTGGAATTTTGGGGTTTTTCTGGGAATTTTCCCCATTTTTCTGGAGATTTTTGGGCATTTTTAGGGCATTTTCTGGAATTTTCCCGTTTTTCTGGAGATTTTCGGGCGTTTTTCGGGCGTTTTTCAGGCATTTTTTGGGCTCTGCCTGGTGCTCCTCAAGCCCCAAACCCATCCCAAGCACAACAAAAATCTGGGAATATTCCTTGGGTTGGATCCCATTGGAATTTTCCGGAATTATTCCAAATTTTCCTGCATTTTTGGGGCATTTTTGGGCGGTTTTTTGGCTGCAGGGACTGCGCCAGGGGCTCTGCCGGGTGCTGCTGCGGCCCCACAGCAACCCCCGCCACAGGTCAGCCCCCAAATCCCAAAAAAAACCCCAAATTCTGGGCATTTTCCATGAATTTTCCCGTTTTTCGGGCATTTTTTGGGTGTTTTTTGGTCGTTTTTCGGTCATTTTCCGGGTGGTTTTTGGGCTCTGCCTGGTGCTCCTCAAGCCCCAAACCCATCCCAAGCACCAGGAAAATCTGGGAATATTCCTTGGGTTGGATCCCATTGGAATTTTCCAGAATTATTCCAAATTTTCCAGCATTTTTGGGGCATTTTTGGGCGGTTTTTGGGCGGTTTTTGGCTGCAGGGACTGCGCCCAGGGCCAGGGGCTCTGCCGGGTGCTCCTCAGGCTCCACAGCAACCCCCACCACAGGTCAGCCCCCAAATCCCAAAAAAACCCCGAATTTTGGGGATTTTCCGGGAATTTTCCCGTTTTTTCTGGAGATTTTTGGGCATTTTTAGGGCATTTTCTGGGAATTTTCCTGTTTTTCAGGCATTTTTTGGGTGTTTTTGGGCGTTTTTCGGTCGTTTTTCGGGCGGTTTTTGGCTCTGCCTGGTGCTCCTCAAGCCCCAAACCCATCCCAAGCACAACAAAAATCTGGGAATATTCCTTGGGTTGGATCCCATTGGAATTTTCCGGAATTATTCCAAATTTTCCAGCATTTTTGGGGCATTTTCTGGGTGTTATTCAGGAAATTTTGGGGCTCTTCCAGGTGCTCCTCAAGCCCCAAACCCATCCCAAGCACAATAAAAATCTGGGAATATTCCTTGTTTTGGGTCCTGTTGGAATTTTAGGGATTTTCCTGGATTTTTTTCCCTTTTCCCAGCATTTTTGGACATTTTTTCTGTGATTTTGAGGCATTTTTGGGCTCTTCCAGGTTCTCCTCAAACCCCAAACCTGGGATATCCCCAATAAACTGAATTTCCATGGGACTTTCTGTTATTCCCCCCATATTTTGAGGCATTTTTTGGCATTTTCGGTTGCTTTTTTTGGCCTTTTTTTGCCGATTTTTTGGGGATTTTGGGCGTTTCTGGGCAGGGAAATTTGGGAAGGGACCTGGAGAGTTTGGGAATTTGGGGATTTCTGGCAGTTTCAGCAATCTGGGCATTCAGTGTGTGAAGAAGAAGGAAATCGAGGCCGCCATCGAGAAGAAGCTGCAGCTCGGGATCGACCCCTTCAAAGGTCAGAATTTCCCCCTTTCCCTGGATTTTCCTGGGATTTTCCTGCATTTCCACATTTTCCCAAATTTTCCTGTCCTTTCCCTGTTTTTCCTGGGTGTTTTTTTCCTTTTTTGGTGGTTTTTTTTCCCCACTTTTTCTCATTTTTTCCCCCAATTTTCCTGGTTTTTTCCTGTTTTTTCTCTTTTTTCCCTTGGTTTTTTTCCCCCCCATTTTCTCCTTGGATCTCCCAGGATTTCCACATTTTCCCAAATTTTCCTGCCTTTTCCCCGTTTTTTCTCCATTTTTCCTGTGGTTTTTTTTTTCCCTTTTTTTTCTGTTTTTTCTTCATTTTTCCCCATTTCTGCCCTGTTTTTCCCATTCCCCCCCTTTTTTCCCATTTTTCTCAGTTTCTCCCGTTTTCCCCCATTTCTGCCCCATTTCCCTCCCATTTTTCCCCAATTTTGCGGTTTCTGCCCCATTTTTTCCCCATTTTCCCCCCATTTCTGCCCCATTTCCCCCCATTTCTGCCCCATTTTCCCCCATTTCTGCCCCATTTTTCCCCATTTTCCCAGTTTCTGCCCCATTTTTCCCCATTTTCCCCATTTCTGCCCCCGTTTTTCCCCATTTTTCCCGGTTCCCCCCCATTTTTCCCCATTTTCCCCCCATTTCTGCCCCATTTTCCCCCCATTTCTGCCCCATTTTCTCCCCATTTCTGCCCCATTTTCCCCCATTTCTGCCCCGTTTTTCCCCCATTTTTCCCTGTTTCCCCCCCGTTTTTCCCCATTTTCCCCCCCATTTCCCCCCGTTTTTCCCCATTTCCCCCCCCTTTTTCCCCCATTTCTGCCCCATTTCTGCCCCGTTTTTCCCCATTTTTGCCGTTTTCTGCCCCGTTTCCAGCGGGCTCCCTGCGGAACCATCAGGAGGTCGATCTCAACGTGGTCCGGATTTGCTTCCAGGCCTCGTTCCGGGACCGCGCCGGGATCCCCCGCAGCCTCAGCCCGGTGCTGTCCCAGCCCATCTTCGACAAGAGTGAGTCCCAAAAAACCCCCAAATTCACCCCAAAAATGTCCTGAAAATGTCCCTGAAAATATCCCAAAAAATGTCCTGAAAATGTCCTGAAAATATCCCCAAAAATGTCCTGAAAATGCCCCTGAAAATATCCCTGAAATGTCCCAAAAATATCCCCAAAAATCCCAAAATCAGCCCCAAAAATCCCCCCAGAGTCTCAGCCGGAGCTGTCCCAGCCCATCTTCGACAAGAGTGAGTCCCAAAATCCCCCAAATTCACCCCAAAAATGTCCTGAAACCAACCCCAAAATCATCGCAAAAATGTCCCTGAAATGTCCTGAAAATATCCTGAAAATATCCTGAAAATATCCCAAAATTGTCTCAGAATGATCCCCCAAAAAATCCCAAAATCAGCCCCAAAATCCCCCTGGAGCCCCAGCCCGGTGCTGTCCCAGCCCATCTTCGACAAGAGTGAGTCCCAAAATCCCCCAAATTCACCCCAAAAATGTCCTGAAAATGTCCTGAAAATATCCCCGAAAATGTCCTGAAAATGTCCCCAAAAATGTCCCCAAAAATGTCCTGAAAATGTCCTGAAAATATCCCCGAAAATGTCCTGAAAATGTCCCCAAAAATGTCCCCAAAAATGTCCTGAAAATGTCCTGAAAATATCCCAAAAATGTCCTGAAAATGTCCTGAAAATATCCCCAAAAATGTCCTGAAAATATCCCTGAAAATATCCCTGAAATGTCCCAAAAATATCCCCAAAAAATCCCAAAATCAGCCCCAAAAATCCCCCCGCAGCCTCAGCCCGGAGCTCTCCCAGCCCATCTTTGACAAGAGTGAGTCCCAAAAACCCCCAAATTCACCCCAAAAATGTCCTGAAAATGTCCTGAAAATATCCCAAAAAATGTCCTGAAAATGTCCCTGAAAATATCCCAAAAATATCCCAAAAAATCCCAAAATCAGCCCCAAAAATGCCCCCGGAGCTGTCCCAGCCCATCTTTGACAAGAGTGAACCCCAAAATACCAAAATACCAAAGAAAATTTTCCAAAAAAATTCTCCCCCCCACAAAAAATTTTTTTTTAAAAATTCCAAAATATTCCAAAAATAAAAAAAAATTCCCCAAAAACTCCCCTCAAAATTCCTAAAAAATTCCCCAAAAAAACCGCCCCAAAAATTTTCCAAATAATTCCCAAAAATTCTGGGGGAAAAAATCCAAAAAAAATTCCTCCTCCCCCACTAAAAAAAAAAGAAAAAAATCCCAAATAATCGCCAAAAATTCCCCAAAAAATGCCCCAAATTCCCAAAAAATGCCCCAAATTCCCCAAAAATGCCCCAAATTCCCCCTGTCCCCCCCAATTCCCAATCTCTGGGGGGTTCCCGATGTTGTGGAACTTTCCAGAATCCACGAACACCTCGGAGCTGCGGATCTGCCGCATGAACAAAGAGAGCGGCCCCTGCACGGGCGGGGAGGAGCTGTACCTGCTGTGCGACAAGGTGCAGAAAGGTACGGGGGGCACAGCTGGGATACACTTGGGCACAGCTGGGCACATCTGGGGCACCTGGGATACACCTGGGATACACCTGGGATCACAGCTGGGCGGGGAGGAGCTGTACCTGCTCTGTGACAAGGTGCAGAAAGGTAAAGGGCACAGCTGGGCACAGCTGGGCACATCTGGGGTACACCTGGGATACACCTGGGCAGGGAGGAGCTGTACCTGCTCTGTGACAAGGTGCAGAAAGGTATGGGGGGCACAGCTGGGCACAGCTGGGATCACAGCTGGGCACAGCTGGGGCACCTGGGTACACCTGGGATACACCTGGGATACACCTGGGTACACCTGGGATCACACCTGGGATACACCTGGGTACACCTGGGATACACCTGGGATACACCTGGGTACACCTGGGATACACCTGGGATACACCTGGGTACACCTGGGATACACCTGGGCACAGCTGGGCGGGGAGGAGCTGTACCTGCTGTGCGACAAGGTGCAGAAAGGTATGGGGGGCACAGCTGGGCACAGCTGGGCACAGCTGGGATACACCTGGGATCACAGCTGGGCGGGGAGGAGCTGTACCTGCTGTGTGACAAGGTGCAGAAAGGTATGGGGGGCACAGCTGGGCACCGCTGGGAGGAGTTTGGGGTACCTGGGCACAGCTGGTGGGTATGGGTCCCAACCCATACCCCGATCCCATATCCCAAATCCCGAGTTCCCGAATTCCCGAATTCCCCTGGAATCCCCGCTGTTTTCCAGAGGACATCGCTGTGATTTTCCACAAGGAGCCCCGGGAGGCTCGGGCCGATCTCTCCCATACCCCAAATCCCACACTCCCAAATCCCCAAATCCCAAATTCCTGAATCCCAAACCCCAAATTCCCGAATTCCCAAGGAATCCCCGCTGTTTTCCAGAGGACATGGCGGTGATTTTCCACAGGGAGCTCTTGGAGGCTCGGGCCGATCTCTCCCGTACCCCAAATCCCAAATCCCAAATTCCTGATCCCAGATCCCAAATCCCACAATCCCAAACCCCCAACCCAAACCCCAAATCCCAAATTCCCGAGTTCCCAGAACCCAAATCCCACAATCCCAAACCCCAAATTCCCAAGGGAATTCCCGCTGTTTTCCAGAGGACATCGCGGTGATTTTCCGCAGGGAGCCCTGGGAGGCTCGGGCCGATCTCTCCCGTACCCCAAACCCCAAATCCCGAATTCCTGATCCCAGATCCCAAATCCCACAATCCCAAATTCCCAAATCCCAAATTCCTGAATTCCCAAATCCCAAATTCCCCCGGAATTCCCGCTGTTTTCCAGAGGACATCGCGGTGATTTTCCGCAAGGAGCCCTGGGAGGCTTGGGCCGATCTCTTCCCACATCCCAATCCCGATCCCATACCCGATCCCATATCCTGATCCCACATTCCCATACCCCATTCCGGATCCCAAATCCTACAATCCCAAACCCCAAATTCCCAAATCCCCAAGGGAATTCCCGCTGTTTTCCAGAGGACATCGCGGTGATTTTCCGCAAGGAGCCCTGGGAGGCTCGGGCCGATTTCTCGCAGGCCGACGTTCACCGGCAGGTGGCGATCGTGCTGCGCACGCCGCCCTACGCGCACCTGGAGCTGCGGGAGCCCGTGCAGGTGGAGGTGTTCCTGCAGCGCCTCACCGACAGCGTCAGGAGCGAGGGATTCCGGTTCACCTACCTGCCCCGGGACACCGGTACCGACCGGGGATAACGGGGATGGGGCACGGGCACAGGGACAGGTACAGGTACAGGTACAGCAGGTACAGGTACAGGTGTTCCTGCAGCGCCTCACCGACAGCGTCCGCAGCGAGGGATTCCGGTTCACCTACCTGCCCCGGGACACCGGTACCGACCGGGGACACCTGGGGATAACGGGGATAACGGGGTACAGGTACAGCAGGTACAGGTGGAGGTGTTCCTGCAGCGCCTCACCGACAGCGTCCGGAGTGAGGGATTCCGGTTCACCTGCCTGCCCCGGGACACCGGTACCGACCGGGGATAACGGGGATGGGGTACGGGGACAGGGACAGGTTCAGGTTCAGGTGTTCCTGCAGCGCCTCACCGACAGCGTCCGCAGTGAGGGATTCCGGTTCACCTACCTGCCCCGGGACACCGGTACCGACCGGGGATAACGGGGATGGGGCACGGGTACAGGGGCAGGTACAGGTTCAGGTGTTCCTGCAGCGCCTCACCGACAGCGTCCGCAGTGAGGGATTCCGGTTCACCTACCTGCCCCGGGACACCGGTACCCACCGGGGATAACGGGGATAACAGGGATAACGGGGATGGGGTACGGGGATGGGGTACGGGGACAGGGACAGGGACAGGTACAGGTACAGGTGCAGGTTCAGGTACAGCAGGTACAGGTTCAGGTGTTCCTGCAGCGCCTCACCGACAGCGTCAGGAGTGAGGGATTCCGGTTCACCTACCTGCCCCGGGACACCGGTACCCACCGGGGATAACGGGGATAACGGGGATGGGGTACGGGGACAGGGACAGGTACAGGGACAGGGACAGGGACAGGGACAGCAGGTACAGGGACAGGGACAGGTACCGGTGCAGGTACAGGGACAGGTTCAGGTTCAGGTGTTCCTGCAGCGCCTCACCGACAGCGTCCGGAGTGAGGGGTTCCGGTTCACCTACCTGCCCCGGGACACCGGTACCCACTGGGGATAACGGGGATGGGGGACAGGTACAGGGACAGGTACAGGGACAGGTACAGGGACAGGTACAGGTACAGGTACAGGCACAGGGACAGGGACAGGGACAGGCACAGGGACAGGGACAGGGACAGGGACAGGGACAGGGACAGGTACAACAGGTACAACAGGTACAACAGGTACAGGTGCAGGTACAGGGACAGGGACAGGTACAGGGACAGGTCCCAGTATTTCCCTGTGTAATTTCCAATATTTCAGGGTGTAATTCCCGGTATTTCCAGGTGTAATTCCCGGTATTTCCTGGTATTTCCGGGTGCAGTTCCCGGTGCAGTTCCCGGTGTAACTCCCGGTATTTCCCAGTGTAATTCCCGGTATTTCCGGGTGTATTTCCGGGTGTATTTCCCGGTGTAACTCCCGGTATTTCTGGGTGCAATTCCGGGTGTATTTCCCGGTGTAATTCCCGGTATTTCCAGGTGTATTTCCGGGGGCAATTCCCAGTGTAACTCCCGATATTTCCCGGTGTAACTCCCGGTATTTCCGGGTGTATTTCCGGGTGTATTTCCGGGTGTAATTCCCGGTATTTCCGGGTGTATTTCCGGGTGTATTTCCCGGTGTAACTCCCGCTGTTGCCCCCGCAGACGCGTACCGGGTGCAGGTGAAGCGCAAGCGGGGAATGCCCGACCTGCTGGAGGAGCTCTCGGGGACAGGTGGGACTGGGATAAACTGGGAGGGACTGGGAGGGGATTGGGAGGGACTGGGATTGGTCTGGGAGGGACTGGGAGGGACTGGGATAAACTGGGAGGGGACTGGGATGGACTGGGAGGGACTGGGATAAACTGGGAGGGACTGGGAGGGGATTGGGAGGGACTGGGATGGACTGGGAATGGACTGGGATAAACTGGGAGGGACTGGGAGGGAATTGGGATAAACTGGGAAGGACTGGGATGGACTGGGAGGGACTGGGATAAACTGGGAGGGACTGGGATAAACTGGGATGGACTGGTGGGGACTGGGAGGGAACTGGGACAGAACTGGGATTGGACTGGGAGGGACTGGGAAGGGATTTGGGGGAAATTCGGGACGAATTTCAGAGGATTTGGAGAGAATTTGGTGGAATTTGGGGAAGTTTGGGGAGAATTTGGGGGGAAATTTTGGGGGATTTGGAAGAATTCGGGGAGAATTTGGGATGGATTTTGGGAAACCGGGGGGAACGTGGGGGAATTTGGGGAGAATTTGGGAGAAATTTGGGATAAATTTGGGGCAATTTGGGAGGAATTTGTGATAAATTTGGGGGGATTTAGGGGAATTCTGGGGGGTTTTGGGGAACTGACCCCCCTGTTCCCCCCAGACCCATTTGGGATCGAGGCCAAGAGGAGGAAGAAGCCCCCGGGGTACCTGGAGCACTTCATCCCCCTGGGCCCCACAGGTGCCACCCCTGGCCCCCCAAAATCCCAAATCTCCACCCCCAAAATCCCAGATTTTCCCCCAAAATCCCCATTTCTGCCCCCCAAATCCCCATTTTTCTCTGTAAAATCCCCATTTTCCCCAGTAAAATCCCCATTTTCCCAATAAAATCCCTATTATTTCCCCATTAATTCCCCATTATTTTCCCATTAATTCCCCATTATTTCCTCTATAAAATCCCCGTTTTTTCCCAATTAATTCCCCATTATTTCCCCAATAAAATCCCCATTATTCCCCATTAATTCCCCATTAATTCCCCATTATTTCCCCAATAAAATCCCCATTAATTCCCCCATTAATTCCCCATTATTTCCCCTATAAATTCCCCATTATTTCCCCAATAAATTCCCCATTTTTCCCCAATTAATTCCCCATTATTCCCCCATTAATTCCCCATTATTCCCCCATTAATTCCCCATTATTTCCCCTATAAATTCCCCATTATTTCCCCAATAAAATCCCCATTATTTCCCCTATAAATTCTCCATTTTTCCCCAATTCCCCATTCATTCCCCAATTAATTCCCCATTATTTCCCCAATAAATTCCCCATTATTTCCTCTATAAAATCCCCGTTATTTCCTCTATAAAATCCCCATTATTTCCCCTATAAAATCCCCCATTTCCCCCAATAAATTCCCCATTATTTCCCCAATAAATTCCCCATTATTCCCCCATTAATTCCCCATTATTTCCCCTATAAATTCCCCATTAATTCCCCATTATTCCCCCATTAATTCCCCATTATTTCCCCTATAAATTCCCCATTAATTCCCCATTATTCCCCCATTAATTCCCCATTATTTCCCCTATAAATTCCCCATTAATTCCCCATTATTCCCCCATTAATTCCCCATTAATTCCCCATTATTTCCCCATTAATTCCCCATTATTTCCCCATTAATTCCCCATTATTCCCCCTCCGCAGACGCCGCCTTTCCCCCGGATCCGGAGCCTCTGGAGCCGCTCCCGGCCCTGCTGGGTCCCTTCGCGCCGCCGGCGCTGGCGCCGTTCGTGGAATTCCCGGAATTCCCGGAATTCCCGATGTTCCCGGCGCCCCCGGAGCTGCTGGCAGAGCCGCCCCCCCCCGCCGGGGACCCCCCCCCCCATTTCCAGCCTCTTGGGGACCCACCTGTTCCCGGGGGAGGGCTGAGCGGGCCCCCAAAATTCCCCAAAATCCCCGGGAAAATCATCCCAGAAATTCCCCAAAATCCCCTCGAAATTCTCCCAGAAATTCCCAAAAGCCCCTCGAAATTCTCCCAAAAATTCCCCAAAATCCCCTCAAAAGTCTCCCCAAAACCCCCTCGAAATACTCCCAAAATTCCCCAAAATCTCCTCGAAATTCTCCCAAAAATTCCCTCGAAATTCTCCCAAAAATTCCCCAAAAATCCCCTCGAAATTCTCCCCAAAAGCCCCCCGAAATTCTCCCCAAAATTCCCAAAAATCCCCATCGAAATACTCCCAAAATTTCCCCAAAATCTCCTCGAAATTCTCTCAAAATTCTCCCAAAAATCCCCTCGAAATTCTCCCAAAAATTCCCCAAAATCCCCTCAAAAGTCTCCCAAAAATCCCCGTGGAAATTCTCCCAAAAATTCCCCAAAACCCCCTCGAAATACTCCCAAAATTCCCCAAAATCCCCTCGAAATTCTCCCAAAAATTCCCCAAAAATCCCCTCGAAATTCTCCCAAAAATTCCCCAAAACCCCCTCGAAATACTCCCAGAAATTCCCCAAAATCCCCTCGAAATACTCCCAAAATTCCCAAAAATCCCCTCGAAATTCTCCCAAAAATCCCCTCGAAATTCTCCCAAAATCCCCTCGAAATCCCTTCAAAAATTTTCCCCAAATCCCCTTCAAAATTCCCAAAAATTCCCGCCTCAAAATCCCTTCAAAATTCCCCTCAGAATTCCCAAAAACCTCCCTCAAAATCCTCTCAAAATTCCCAAATATTCCAAAAATCCCCCTCAAAATCACCTTCAAATTCCCAAAATCCCCTCGAAATTCCAAAAATACCCAAAAATTCCCTCAAAATCCCCGGAATTCCCAAAATTTCCCCGGAGGATTTCAGGGATTTTCTCCCCATCCCAGAAACTGGGGCCAGGCCTGGCTGGACCCCCTCAGGATTTTAGGAAATTCCCAAATTTTTTCCCCTTTTTTGTTTTGGTTTTTTCACTATATTTATAGGGGGAACCCCAGCCTGGATTTTGGAGGAAATTTTGGGGAATAATTCCTGGGATTTTGGGTAAAATTCCCAGATTTTTGGGCAGAATTCCTGGGATTTTGTCTGGGATTTTGGGGGAAAATTCACGGACTTTTGGCAGAATTCCTGGGGATTTTGGGTGGATATTTTGCAGAATTCCGGCATTTTGGGGAAAATCCTGGGATTTTGGGCAGAATTCCAGGATTTTGGGTGGGATTTTGGAAATTTTGGGCAAAATTCTGGGATCTGGGGTGAAATTCTGGGATATGGGGGGAAATTCTGGGATTTTGTGTGGAATATTTGGGGAATTTTGGGCAGAATTCCAGGATTTTGTGTGAAATAAAGGCGTGGATGGACACACAGGAGCTGCTTTTGGGAACTGGGAGGGAACTGGGACAAAACTGGGAGGGACTGGGCCGAGTCTGGCCCAGTATCGAACTGGGAATGGGAGCAGGATCTGGGCCCAGTATCAGCCTTGGAACGGCACCAGTTTGGACCAGTATCGAACTGGGAATAGAACCCGGAAGAGGAAGCGCTCAGGCCCCGCCCACACATCAAACCACGCCCCTTCACCAGGCACCACCTCAAGCCCCGCCCCAGCCTCGTTCTGACACAAGCCACGCCTCAATTAATTTCTTAATTAGCCCCACCTCAGCCTCGTTCTGACACAAGCCACGCCCCAATTGATTTCTTAATTAGCCCCCACCTCAGCCTCGTTCTGACACAAGCCACGCCCTAATGTATTTCTTAATGAGGCCCCGCCTCAGCCTCGTTCTGACATCAAGCCGCGCCCACAACTCGATCCTATTAGGCCCCATCCAGCCTCGTTCTGACACCATACCACGCCCCAAAGTATTTCCTCTTAGGCCCCGTCCCAGCCTCGTTCTGATAACAAGCCACGCCCCAATCTGTTTCCTCATTAAGCCCCGCCCCAGCCTCGTTCTGACACAAGCCACGCCCTAATGTAGTCCTTATTAGGCCCCGCCTCAGCCTCGTTCTGACACCAAGCCACGCCCACAACCTCAGTCCCCATTAGGCCCCGCCCTTTCTTCCAGTCACTTCCGCTTCCGGCCGTCACTTCCGCTTCTGGGTGCGCCGAGCGCGGTGAGCGGCGATGGCGGCGGGGCCGCTCCCCCCAATTAACGCTTCACTACCGCCCTAATTACCCCCCCCCTCGGGACTGCCCCTCATTAGCGCGCTAATTACCGCCCTAATGACCCCCCTGCCCCTCAGGGCTGCCCCCGGGGCCTCCCCTGCCCCCCGCATTCCCCTTTTCCCCTTCCCGCCCTTATTCCCACTTGCTTTTTTCTATTCCTGTTTTTTCCCCCTTTAATCAATCCCCAATTCCCCCTTAATTAATCCCCAATTCCCCGTTAATCGATCTCTAATTCCCTTTAATCAATCCCCAATTCCCCCTTTAAATCAATCCCCAATTCCTCCCTTCATTAACCCCAATTCCCCCTTAACTCCATTTCCCCTCTTAATCAATCCCCAATTCCCTTTAATTAATCCCCATTTTTCCCTCTTTAATTCCCAATTTTTATTCCAATTCCCCCTTAATCAATCCCCATTTCCCCCTTAATTAATCCCCAATTTCCCCCTTTCATTCCCAATTTTTATCTCAATTACCCCCCCCTTAATTCCCAATATTTATCTCCAATTCCTCCCTTAATTAACCCTAATTCTGCTTCAATTAACTCTCTATTCCTCCTCAACTAATCCCCATTTCCCCTTTAATAATCCCCAAATTTCTCCTTTTAATTAACCAAAATTTTCCCCTTTAATCCCCTTTCTTTGTCCCAAATTTTCCTTTCCCCCCCAATTTCCCCTTTAATTAATCCCCGATTTCCCCTTTATTAATCCCCGATTTCCCCCTTAATTAATCCCCGATTTCCCCCTTAATTAACCCCAACCCCTTTCATTACCCCCAATCCCCCTCCAGCCCTTCCCCATCCCTAAATCTTCATTTTTCTCCCCCAGGCCCCTCCTCCTTTTCCTCCTCCTCCTCCTCCTCCCCTCTCCATCCCCCTTTCCCCACAGCCCCAGGCCGCTCCCAGAAGGTTCCAGAAGGTTCCAGGAGGCCCGGAAGGTTCCGGAAGGTTCCGGAAGGCCGCAGGATGTGGCACGAGGCGCGGAAGCACGAGCGCAAGCTGCGGGGGATGATGGTGGATTACAAGAAACGCGCTGAGAGGCGCCGCGAGTACTACGAGAAAATCGTGAGTGCAGGACCAGGCTGGGCCAGTTTGGGGGGTCCTCAACCAGTTTGGGGGGTCCTTGTCCCAGTTTGGGGGGTCCTGAGCTAGTTTGAGGGGTCCTTGTCCCAGTTTGGGGGTCCTGAGCCAGTTTGAGGGGTCCTTGTCCCAGTTTGGGGGGTCCTTGTCGCAGTTTGGGCCAGTTCACACCAGTTTGGGGCCAGTTCACACCAGTTTGGGAGTTCCTGGTCCCAATTTGGGGGGTTCTCGTCCCAGTTTGGAGGGGACCCAGAATCAGTTTGGGCCAGTTTGGGGGGTCCTTGTCCCAGTTTGGGCCAGTTTGCAGGAGTTTGGGGGGGTCCTCAACCAGTTTGGGGGGTCCTGAGCCAGTTTGGGGGGTCCTTGTCCCAGTTTGGGAGTTCCTTGTCCCAGTTTGGAGGACCCAGAACCAGTTTGGGCCAGTTTGGGGGGGTCCTTGTCCCAGTTTGGGGGGGTCCTCAACCAGTTTGGGGGGTCCTTGTCCCGGTTTGGGGGGTCCTGAGCCAGTTTGGGGGGTCCTTGTCCCAGTTTGGGGGGGTCCTGAGGCAGTTTGCGCCAGTTCACACCAGTTTGAGAGTTCCTTGTCCCAGTTTGGAGGGACCCAGAACCAGTTTGGGCCAGTTTGAGGGGTCCTTGTCCCAGTTTGGGGGTCCTCAGCCAGTTTGGGGGTCCTTGTCCCAGTTTGGGCCAGTTTGCAGGAGTTTGGGGGGGTCCTCAACCAGTTTGGGGGGTATTGTCCCAGTTTGGGGGGGCCTGAGCCAGTTTGGGCCAGTTCGCACCAGTTCGGGAGTTCCTTGTCCCAATTTGGGGGGTTCTTGTCCCAGTTTGGGAGTTTCTTGTCCCAGTTTGGAGGGACCCAGAATCAGTTTGGGCCAATTTGGGGGGTCCTTGTCCCAGTTTGGGGGGTCCTCAGCCAGTTTGGGGCCAGTTCACACCAGTTCAGGAGTTCCTTGTCCCAGTTTGGGGGGTTCTTGTCCCAGTTTGGGGGCACCCAGAACCAGTTTGGGCCAATTTGGGGGGTCCTTGTCCCAGTTTGGGGGAGCCAGAACCAGTTTGGGGGGTTGGGGGGAGCAGAACCAATTTGGGGGATCCTTGTCCCAGTTTGGGGGGACCCAGAACCAGTTTGGGGGGGTCCTTGTCCCAGTTTGGGGGTTCTTGTCCCAGTTTGGGGGATCCTGGTCCCAGTTTGGGCCAGTTTGCACCAGTCTGAGGGGTTTTCAACCAGTCTGGGGACTCCTCTCCCAGTTTGGAGGCCGATATTCCCATTTTTCCTGGGAATTCTGTCCCAGAACTCCCCTTTCCCCTGCATTCCAGCCCCTTCCCACATCCCCCTTTTCCTGGGAATTCTCCCCACCTTTCCCCAATCCCTAATCCCAGAATTTTCCTCTTTTTCCTGGGAATTCTCCCCTTCATTCCAGGATTTTCCTGGGAATTCTCCCCCTCATTCCCACTTTTCCCCTTGTCCCTAATTCCTGGATTTTCCTGGGAATTCTCCCCCCCTTTCCCCCATCCCTAATCCCAGAATTTTCCCGTTTTTCCTGGGAATTCTCCCCTTCATTCCAGGATTTCCCTGGGAATTCTCCCCACCTTTCCCCCCAATCCCTAATTCCCCATTTTTTCCCGTTTTTCCCAGAAAAAGGACCCGGCTCAGTTCCTGCAGGTGCACGGCCGGGCCTGCAAGGTGCACCTGGACTCTGCCGTGGCCCTGGCGGCCGAGAGCCCTGTAAACATGTGAGTGTTGGGAATTCCCACCTGGAATTCCATGGGATTATCCCTGGAATATTCCTGGGATCACCCCCCATGGATGGAGAAATCCAGGATTTCCCAGGAGTTGGAATTTTGGGCGGTTTTGGGGAAATCCGGGAAGAACTGGAGCTGCCATTCCCGGTTTTTAGTGATGGGAAAGGGGGAGTTTTTTCTCATTCCAGGGATAAATTCCATGGGATTATCTCTGGAATCTTCCTGGGATCACCCCCCAGGGATGGAGAAATCCAGGATTTCCCAGGGGTTGGAATTTGGGCGATTTCGGGGGAAATCCGGGAGGATTTGGAGTCGCCGTTCCTGTTTTTGCTGAAGGAATTTTGCTCATTCCAGGGATAAATTCCATGGGATTATCCCTGGAATATTCCTGGGATCACCCCCCAGGGATGGAGAAATCCAGGATTTCCCAGGGGTTGGAATTTGGGCAATTTCGGGCAAATCCGGGAGGATTTGGAGTCTCCGTTCCTGTTTTTGCTGAAGGAATTTTGCTCATTCCAGGGATAAATTCCATGGAATTATCCCTGGAATATTCCTGGGATCACCCCCCATGGATGGAGAAATCCAGGATTTCCCAGGGGTTGGAATTTGGGCGATTTCGGGCAAATCCGGGAAGAACTGGAGCTGCCATTCCCGTTTTTTAGTGATGGGAAAGGGGGAGTTTTTCTCATTCCAGGGATAAATTCCATGGGATTATCTCTGGAATCTTCCTGGGATCACCCCCCAGGGATGGAGAAATCCAGGATTTCCCAGGGGTTGGAATTTGGGCGATTTCGGGCAAATCTGGGGAGAATTCAGATTTTTATTGGAATTATCATTCCCATTTTTTTTGCTGATGGAAAGGAGGAATTCTGCTCATTCCAGAGAGAAAATCCCCACCCTGGAACCCCCCCTCCCCACCCAGGGCTGGATAAATCCCAATTTTCCTTTAAAATGAAATTTAATTTGGTTTTACTTCATCAACCCAAAGAAAATTCAGCTTTTTGGGGGAACCTACTTTTCCCATTTTTTTTGTGCTGAAGGAAAGGGGGCAATTCTGACCATTCTGGGTGGAATTCCAGGATTTTTCCCATTCCCAAAGTTTGTTTTTTCCTGCAGGATGCCCTGGCAGGGGGACACCAACAACATGATCGACAGGTTCGACGTCCGTGCTCACCTGGATTTCATCCCCATGTACACCCCAGCCCTGCTCAGCCCCACGTAAGAGTCCCAAAAAATCCCCAAGGAATTCCCAAAAAAATTCCTGCAAGATTCCCCAAAAAATTCCCGTAAAATTCTCAAAAAAATTTCCCCAAAAATTCCGTTTGAAGCCATAAAATGCCTCCTTTTTTAGCACAAAATCCCTTTTTGGATCCTCAAAATCCTACTTTAAACCCATAAAATCCACATTGCATCCCCAAAATCTCCCTTTGAACCCCAAAATCCCTGTTTTGATCCCCAAATCCCCTCAGAATTCCCATTTTCCCAGCTCACCCTGGAGCAGGAATCAGATGAGCGCAAATGCAGCTATGAGGGGGAGGCCCCAATAATCCACCTTTTTTTCCCCCAAATCCAGCTTTTTTTAGCACAAAATCTTTCCTTGAACCCTAAAATCCACCTTTAATCCCCCAAATCCCCATTTTGATCCCAAAATCCCCTCAGAGTTTCCATTTTTCCAGCTCGCCTGAGCAGGAATCGGAGGAGCACAAACACAACTGTGAGGGGGGGATGCCCTCATAATCCACCTTTTTTTCCCCCAAAATCCAGCTTTTTTTTAGCACCAAGTTTTTCTTTGACCCCTTAAATCCACTTTGAACCCCCAAAATTCCCATTTGGATCCCAAAATCCCCTCAGAATTCCCGTTTTTCCAGCTCACCGGAGGAGGAGTCAGACAAGCAAAAACGCAACTATGAGGGGGGAGGCCCCAAAATCCCCCTTGTTGCTCCCCAAATTCTACCTTGTTTTTTCCCCCAAAATCTGTTTGTTTTCCTCCCCAAATCCACCGTGGGACCCCAAAATCCACCTTGAACCCCCAAAATTCCCATTTTGATCCCAAAATCCCCTCAGAATTCCCGTTTTTCCAGCTCACCGGAGCAGGAGTCGGACGAGCGCAAATGCAACTACGAGCGGTACCGGGGCCTGGTGCAGAATGACTTCGCTGGCAGTGAGTCCCTTTTTTCCTGTTTTTTTGGGAATTCTGACCCCTCTGGATCCCCTGGGAATGGTTCCCGAGGGATTTAAGGAATGATTTGATCCCAAATTCCCGATCCCAGTCTCGGAGGAGCAGTGCCTGTACCAGATCTACATCGACGAGCTCTACGGGGGCCTCCAGAAACCCAACGAGGATGAGAAGAAAAAGTGAGGGAAAAAAGTCGGAATTCCTGGGAATTCCAGATGGGAAATCACCGGGAATGCACCCCCACACCCTCGGGAATGATCCTAATTCTGGGATAATGCCCCCAGTCCCAGTTTTCCCCTCACTCCTTTGCCTGAATCTCCCCCGAAACCACCCTGGGAAGGACTCCTGGTTTAGCTTGGGGGATTCTGGTTTGGAATTTCCATTTTTTCCTTTGGGATTCTGCCTCAGAGCTCCCATTTTTCCTTGGAATTCCAACTTGGAAATCCCATTTTCCCTCACAATTCCCGTTTTCCCTCACAATTCCACCTCAGGCCTTCCATTTTCCCTCAAAATTCCCATTTTCCCTCACAATTCCCCTCACAATTCCCATTTTCCCTCACAATTCCCATTTCCCCTCACGATTCCCCCTCACAATTCCCATTTCCCCTCACAATTCCCCCTCACAATTTCCCATTCCCCCTCACAATTCCCATTCCCCCTCACAATTCCCATTTCCCCTCACAATTTCCCCTCACAATTCCCATTTCCCCTCACAATTCCCCATTTCCCCTCACAATAATTCCCCCTCACAATTCCCATTCCCCCTCACAATCCCCATTTTCCCTCACAATTCCCCCTCACAATCCCCATTTTCCCTCACAATAATTCCCCCTTACAATCCCCATTTCCCCTCACAATTTCCCCTCACAATCCCCATTTTCCCTCACAATTCCCCCTCACAATCCCCATTTTCCCTCACAATAATTCCCCCTCACAATTCCCCTTTTCCCTCACAATTCCCATTCCCCCTCACAATCCCCATTTCCCCTCACAATTCCCCTTTTCCCTCACTATTTCCCCTCACAATTCCCCATTTCCCCTCACTATTTCCCCTCACAATTCCCCCTCACAATCTCCATTTTCCCTCACAATTCCCATTTCCTCTCACAATTCCCCTTTCCCCTCACAATCCCCATTTCCCTCACAATTCCCCTTTTCCCTCACAATTCCCCCTCACAATTCCCCTTTTCCCTCACAATTCCCCTTTTCCCTCACAATCCCCATTTCCCCTCACAATTCCCCCTCACAATTCCCCTTTTCCCTCACAATCCCCATTTCCCCTCACAATTCCCATTCCCCCTCACAATTCCCATTTCCCTCACAAATCCCATTTTCCCTCACAATTCCCCTTTTCCCTCACAATTCCCATTTCCCCTCACAATCTCCCCTCACAATTCCCCTTTTCCCTGGGCGGGGCTCCCCGGCCCGGTCCCCTCAGCCCCTCGGCCTTCCCGGGGGGATCTCCCTCCCTCCCTCCCTCCCTCCCTGAGGGGAGAAGCCGCGGCCTGGAGGGATTCGTGTCCCAACCCTCCCCAGGCTGGCGGAGAAAAAAGCTTCCATAGGCTACACCTACGAGGACAGCACGGTGGAGGAGCTGGAGAATTCCCTGGAAAAACGAGCCGGGGACGAGGAGGACTCCGAGGAAGACTCCAACACCGACGAGGACGAAGTGATCCCGGACATCGGTAACGGATCCGAGGCCCCCGGCCGGGACTCGGGGCTCCTTCCCGGGCGGAATTCCAGGATTTTCCCGGCGTTTTTCCAGACGTGGAGGTGGACGTGGACGAGCTGAACCAGGAGCAAGTGGCCGACCTGAACAAGCAGGCCACCACCTACGGCATGGCCGAGGGCGATTTCGTCAGGTACGGCCCGGAAAAAACTCGGGAAAAGTTGGGATCCTGCCCCAAAATCACCCTGGGGAGGGTTGTTTCTGCTTTTCCTTGGGATTTTGGCTTGGCAATCCCATTTTCCTGGGGATTCCCTCCTGGAAATCCCATTTTTCCTTGGCATTTTGGCATGGGATTCCCATTTTTCCTTGGCATTTTGGCTTGGGATTCCCACTTTTCCTTGGGATTTTGGCTTGGCAATCCCATTTTCTTTGGGATTCTCTCCTGGAAATCCCATTTTTCCTTTGGGATTTTGGCTCAGGAATCCCATTTTTCTTTGGGGTTCTCTCCTGGAAATCCCATTTTTCCTTAGAATTTTGGCTCAGGACTCTCATTTTTCCTTGGGATTTTGGCTCAGGAATCCCATTTTCCTTGGGATTCCCTCCTGGAAATCCCATTTTTCCTTGGGATTTTGGCTTGGAATTCCCATTTTTCCTTGGGATTTTGGCTTGGGATTCCCATTTTCCTTTGGGATTTTCTCCTAGAAACCCTATTTTCTGAGAAGATTTTCTCCTGGAAATCCCATTTTCCCTTACGATTTTCTCCTGGAAATCCCATTTTCCCTTGGGATTCTCTTCTGAAAATCCCATTTTTCCTTGAAATTCTGCCTCACATCTCCCTGGTTTTCCTGAGGGTCCCCCCCTTTTTTTCCAGACTTTTCCCTGAGACTCTGCCTTGAAAATCCCATTTTTTCCTGAGCTTCCGCCTCAAAAATCCCATTTTCCCCTGAAATTCCAGCTCAGGGCTCCCCCTTTTCCTCAGAATTCGGGATCTCCCCACAACCCCACCCTGATCCCATTATTTTTTCCCCCCCTGGAAAAAGGATGCTGAGGAAGGACAAGGAGGAGGCTGAAGCCATCAAAAACGCCAAGGCCCTGGAGGAGGAGAAGGCCATGTACTCGGTGAGGGGGGAAAAAACCCGGAAAAAAACCCGGGAATTTCCCCTTGGAAAATCCCCCAAAATCCCTTCCTGACCTCCAATCCCTTCCCCAGGGCCGCCGCTCGCGCCGGCAGCGCCGGGAATTCCGGGAGAAGCGGCTGAAGGGCCGGAAAATCAGCCCCCCCAGGTGGGAGTCCCGACCCTCCCACCCACAGCCCCCGCTTTCCAACCCCCCCAATTTCCCAATTTCTCATTCCCAAATCCCAACATTTCCCATTTCCGTATCCCGTTCCCCCCCCGAATCCCAGTTCTCGCCCCAAATCCCAACTGTTCCTCTCCAAAATCCCATTTTTTCCCCCCCAAAGCCCAAATTTTCATTCCCAAACCCCCCCCCAATTCCACCAAATCCCCCCCGTATTCCCCCAAATCCCCCCCGTATTCCCCCAATCCCCCCAAACCTCACCTTTTCATCCCCAAAATCCCATTTTCCCCCTCAAATCCCATCTTTTCATCCCCTAATCCCCCTCAAATCCCACTTTTGTCATCCCCAAAATCCCATTTTTCTCCCCAAACCCCAACTTTTCCATCCCCAAAATTCCCCCATTTCCCCCCCCCCCCGTTTTCCCCCCCATTTTATTTTATATTTTATATTTTATATTTTATTTTATATTTTATTTTATATATTTTTTTAATTTTATATTTTATATTTTATTTTACTTTATTTATTATTTTGTTTATTTTATTTTATTTTACTTTATTTTATTTTAATTTTATTGTATTTATTTTCTCTCTCCCCCCAGCTACGCCCGCCGGGACAGCCCCACCTACGACCCGTACAAACGGTACCGCCCCCGGGAACGGCCCCGGTGCTTCCCCCGTTCCCTCCGGGGCTGCTCCAATCCCCATTCCCGGTGCCTCCCGTTCCCCCAGGGGCTGCTCCAATCCCCATTCCCGGTGCTCCCGGGGCTGCCCCAATCCCCAATCCCGGTGCCTCCCGGGGCTGCCCCAATCCCCAACCCCCGGTGCCTCCCGGGGCCGCTCCAATCCCCATTCCCGGTGCTCCCGTTCCCTCCGGGGCCGCTCCAATCCCCAATCCCGGTGCCTCCCGGGGCCGCTCCAATCCCCATTCCCGGTGCTCCCGTTCCCTCCGGGGCCGCTCCAATCCCCAATCCCGGTGCCTCCCGGGGCCGCTCCAATCCCCATTCCCGGTGCTCCCGTTCCCTCCGGGGCCGCTCCAATCCCCAATCCCGGTGCCTCCCGGGGCCGCTCCAATCCCCATTCCCGGTGCTCCCGTTCCCTCCCGGGGCCGCTCCCATCCCCAACCCCCGGTGCCTCCCCCGTTCCCTTCCGGGGCCGCTCCAATCCCCATTCCCGGTGCTCCCGGGGCCGCTCCGGTTGCCAACCCCCGGTGCTCTCCCCGCAGTTCCCCCTCGGAATCGAGCTCCGAGTCCCGTTCCCGGTCGCGGACCGCCGTCGCCGGGCCATGAGGAGAAGATCACCTTCATCACCAGCTTCGGCGGCAGCGACGAGGAGCCCCCGGCCCGGGAACCACAACGGGAGCACCGGGAGCACCGGGAGCACCGGGAGCGGCAGCGCCCCCCGGCGCCCGGAGCCTCGGCCCCCGCACACAGAGCGGCCTCACGGTCAGGGACCAGCCCCTTTTTCCCCCTTTTTTTCCCCTTTTTCCCCCTTTTTTTCCCCTCTTTTCCCCCTTTTTCCCCCTGTTTTTCCCCCTTTTTCCCTGATTTTCCCCGATTTTTCCCCTTTTTTTTGCCCTGGTTTTCTCTTTTTTCCCTCCCTTTTTTCCCCCTGATTTTTCCCCTAAATTTTCCCCCTTTCTCTCTTTTTTCCCCTTTTCCCTGATTTTCCTCTTTTCCCCCCTGATTTTCCGCTTTTTTCCCCTCTTTTTCTCTCTTCCCCCCCCTCTTTTCCCCTCCTTTTCCCTCCCTTTTCCCCTCCCTTTTCCCCTCCTTTTCCCTCCCTTTTCCCCTCCCTTTTCCCCTCCCTTTTCCCCTCTTCCCCCCCCCTTTTCCCCTCCTTTTCCTTCCCTTTTCCCCTCCCTTTCCCCTCCCTTTTCCCCTCCCTTTTCCTTCCCTTTTCCCCTCTTTTCCCCTCCCTTTTTCCCTCCCTTTCCCCTCCCTTTTCCCTCCCTTTTCCCCTCTTTTCCCCTTTTTTCTCCTCCTTTCCCCTCCCTTTTCCCCTCTTTTCCCCTCCCTTTCCCCCTCCCTTTTCCCCTCCCTTTTCCCCTCTTTTCCCCTTTTTTCCCCTCCCTTTCCCCTCCCTTTTCCCTCCCTTTTCCCCTCTTTTCCCCTTTTTTCCCCTCCCTTTTCCCTCCCTTTTCCCCTCTTTTCCCCTCCCTTTTTCCCTCCCTTTTCCCTCCCTTTTCCCCTCCCTTTTCCCCTTTTTTCCCCTCCCTTTTCCCTCCCTTTTCCCCTCTTTTCCCCTTTTTTCCCCTCCCTTTTCCCTCCCTTTTCCCCTCCCTTTCCCCTCCCTTTTCCCTCCCTTTTCCCCTCTTTTCCCCTTTTTTCCCCTCCCTTTCCCCTCCCTTTTCCCTCCCTTTTCCCCTCTTTTCTACTCCTTTTCCCCTCCCTTTCCCCCATTTTGCCCACCCCCCAATTTCTCACTTTTCTCCCTTCTGCAGGCGCCGCTCTTCCTCCACCTCCTCGTCCTCCTCCTCCTCCTCGCGCTCCTCCTCCTCCTCCTCGTTCAGCTCCGGCTCCCGCAGCCCCTCCCGGGGCTCCCGCCCGCCCTTCCGGGGCCGCTCCCGGGGCCTCTTCCGGGGCCGCTCCCGCCGCTCCCGGAGCCGCTCCCGGAGCCGCAGCCGCTCCCGGAGCCGCTCCCGGAGCCGCTCCCGCCGCTACTCCCGGGGGGGCTCCCGGGAGCGCCGCTGCTCCCCGATCCCCGGAGCAGCAACAGCAGCAGCGGGGCCACCGCCACCGCCGCCGCTCCAGGTCAGCGCGGCCCGGGGCTGTGGGACCGGGATTGGGACAGTTTGGGTCAGTCTGGGTCAGTTTGGGTCAGTTTTGGGTCAGTTTGGGACCAGTTCGGGACAGTTTGGGACCAGTTCGGGACCAGGTTGGGTCAGTTTGGGACAGCTTGGGACAGTTTGGGACCAGTTTGGGACCAGGTTGGGTCAGTTTGGGACAGTTTGGGACCAGTTCGGGACAGTTTGGGACCAGTTTGGGACCAGGTTGGGTCAGTTTGGGACCAGTTTGGGACAGTTTGGGTCAGTTTTGGGTCAGTTTGGGGGGAGCCGCTGCTCCAGGTCAGCGCGGGCCGGGGCTGTGGGACCAGGGCACAACAGGCTGGGACAGTTTGGGACCAGTTCGGGACAGTTTGGTTTAGTTCGGGACAGTTCGGGACAGTCTGGGTCAGTTTGGGACAGTTTGGGACAGTTTGGGACCAGTTTGGGACAGTTCGGGACCAGTTTGGGACCAGTTTGGGACCAGTTTGGGACCAGTTTGGGACAGTTTGGGACCAGTTTGGGACCAGTTTGGGACCAGTTCGGGACAGTTTGGGACCAGTTCGGGACCAGGTTGGGTCAGTTTGGGACCAGTTTGGGACCAGGTTGGGACCAGTTCGGGACAGTTTGGGACAGTTTGGGACAGTTTGGGACCAGTTTGGGACAGTTTGGGACCAGTTTGGGGGGAGCCGCCGCTCCAGGTCAGCGCGGGCCGGGGCTGTGGGACCGGGGCACAACGGGCTGGGACAGTCTGGGACCAGTTCGGGACAGTTTGGAACCAGGTTGGGATAGTCTGGGTCAGTTTGGGACCAGTTTGGGACAGTTTGGGACCAGTTTGGGACAGTTTGGGACAGTTTGGGTCAGTCTGGGTCAGTTTGGGACCAGGTCACACCAGTTTGGAACCAGTTTGACACCAGTTCACGCTGGTTCAGGTTGAGTTTGGGACCAGTTTGGGACCAGTTTGCGCCGCTTTGGGACCACTTCACACCAGTTTCCCCCCTATTTCCCCATTTTCCCCCAATTTTCCCCATTTTCATAGGATTTTCCCCCATTTCCCCATGATTTTCCCCATTTCTCCCCCAATTTTCCCTCAATTTTCCCCATTTCCCCCCAATTCCTCCCAGGATTTTCCCCCTATTTCCCCCCCATTCCCCCCCGATTTTCCCATTTTCACGCAGTTTTCCCCATTTCCCCCCCGATATTTTCCCATTTTCCCCCCATTTCCCGCCCATTCCCCCCGATTTTCCCATTTTCACGCAGTTTTCCCCCATTTCCCCCCCGATTTTTCCCATTTTCACGCGGTTTTCCCCCCCATTTCCCCCCCGATTTTTCCCATTTTACCCCCATTTCCCCCCCGATTTTCCCATTTTCACGCGGTTTCCCCCCCATTTCCCCCCCCCGATTTTTCCCATTTTTACCCATTTCCCCCCCGATTTTCCCCATTCCCCCCTGATATTTTCCCATTTTCACGCAGTTTTCCCCATTTCCCCCCCGATTTTTCCCATTTTTCCCCATTCCCCCCCCCCCGATTTTCCCATTTTCACGCGGTTTCCCCCCCATTTCCCCCCCCCCGATTTTTCCCATTTTTCCCCATTTTCCCCCCCGATTTTCCCATTTTCACGCGGTTTTCCCCATTTCCCCCCCTGATTTTTCCCCATTCCCCCCCGATTTTTCCCATTTTTCCCCCATTTCCCCCCCGATTTTTCCCATTTTCACGCCGTTTTTCCCCATTTTCACGCGGTTTTCCCCATTTCCCCCCCCGATTTTTCCCATTTTCCCCCATTCCCCCCGATTTTCCCCATTCTCCCACGCGGTTTTCCCCCATTTCGCGGCCGGCAGGAGCCGCTCCCGGCGCTCGCTGCGCTCGTGGCGCCGCTGGAGCAGCGGCAGCCGGAGCCGGAGCAGCCGCAGCGACTCCCGGAGCCCCTCCCGCTCCCGCTCCCGCTCCCGGAGCCGCTCCCGGAGCCGCTCCCCGCTCCCCGAGCCCGCCCGGAGCCCGGGACAAGGCCCCGCCCCGGGCCCCGGCCTCGCCCGCCGTCGGAGAGAAGCTGAAAAAGTGAGTGGAGAACGCGGAAATTGGGGGAAAAAGCCTGAAAAATCCCCCAGAATCTTCCCCAAATCCCCAGAAATCAGCCAGAATTTCCCTCAAATCCCTCTGACATCGCCCAGATCCCTAACATTCCCCCCAAATCCCCTCAAAAATCCCCAAAATTCCCTCAAAAATCCCTGAAATTTCCCCAAAATCCCTCAAAAATCCTAAAATTCCCTCAAAAATCCCCCAAATTCTCCCCCAAATCCCCTCAAAAATCCCTAAAATACCCCCAAAATCCCCCGGAGCCCCTCCCAGTCCCAAGCCCCGCCCCAGCCCCCCCGGCCTTGCCCAATTTTCCCCCAGTTTTTCTCCCAAATTTCCCCAACTTCCCCCCAAATTTCCCCCCAATTTTTCCCCCAATTTCCCCCAACTTTCCCCCCTAATTTCCCCAATTTTCCCCCCAATTCCCCCAATTTTTCCCCACAATTTCCCTCCCATATTTCCCCAATTTTTCCCCACAATTTTCTCCCAAATTTTTCCCAATTTTTTCCCCCAAATTTCCCCAATTTTTCTCCCAAATTTCCCAAAATTTTTCCCCCTGATTCCCCCAATTTTTCTCCACAATTTTCCCCCTAATTTCCCCAATTTTCCCCCCTAATTTCCCAAATTTCCCCAATTTTTGTCCCCAATTTCCCTGATTTTGGCCCAAATTTCCCCTCAGGGCGGACGCCGGTGCTGGTAAAGATTCCGGAGCTGCCAAAGTCAGTAAGAATTGGAATTTCCCCTTGTTCTGAACGGAACTCGGCTCTGTGGGAGCAGCACCGGGGATCCTCAGGATTTGGGGATCCTCAGGGATTGGGGAGCCTAAAGGGGATTTGGGGGTACCAAAGGGATTGGGGATCCTCAGGGATTGGGGAGCCTAAAGGGATTGGGGATCCTCAGGGATTGGGGATCCTAAAGGGATTGGGGATCCTCAGGGATTGGGGAGCCTAAAGGGGATTTGGGATCCTCAGGGATTGGGGAGCCTAAAGGGATTGGGGATCCTAAAGGGATTGGGGAGCCAAAAGGGGATTGGGATCCTCAGGGATTGGGGAGCCTCAAGGGGATTTGGGATCTTAAAGGGGATTGGGGAGACTCGAGGGATTGGGGAGCCTAAAGGGGATTTGGGATCCTAAAGGGATTGGGGATCTTAAAGGGATTTGGGATCCTCAGGGATTGGGGAGCCTAAAGGGGATTGGGGGGGCCAAAGGGATTGGGGAGCCTAAAGGGATTTGGGAGCCTAAAGGGATTGGGGCTGCCAAAGGGATTTGGGAGCCTAAAGGGGATTTGGGATCTTAAAGGGAGCTGGGGGGCCAAAGGGATTTGGGAGCCTAAAGGGATTGGGAGCCTAAAGGGATTGGGGGATCTTAAAGGGATTTGGGAGACTAAAGGGATCTGGGGGTGCAAAGGGATTTGGGATCCTCAGGGATTGGGGAGCCTCGAGGGAGCTGGGGGGGGCCAAAGGGATCGGGGAGCCTCAAGGGAAGGGGATTGGGGAGCCTAAAGAGGATTTGGGGGGCCTAAAGGGGATTTGGGATCCTAAAGGGAGCCGGGGGGGCCAAAGGGATTGGGGATCCTAAAGGGATTTGGGGAGCCTGAAGGGATTGGGGATCCTAAAGGGGATTGGGGGGCCTTAAAGGGATTGGGGATCCTGAAGGGATTGGGGATCCTAAAGGGGTTGGGGGATCCTGAAGGGATCCTGTGGGTGCCAAAGGGATTTGGGGGATCCTGAAGGGGTTGGGGATGCCAAAGGGATTTGGGATCCCACAGGGATCAGGGAATCATCCCAGGGATCCCTTTGGGATCACTGGGGAGGGGGAATTTTTCCGGGGATTTTTCTGGGGATTTTGGGCAATTTGGGGGAAAAATGGAAAAAATCAGCTTGGAAGGGGGTGGGGTGGGGAGGCCTTTCCTGGATTTTCCCTCATTTTCCCAAATTTTCCCCAGATTTCTTGGATTTTCCCTCATTTTCCCAGATTTCCACCAAATTTTCCCCAGATTTCCTTGGATTTTCCCTCATTTTCCCAGATTTTCTTAATTTTTCTTTAATTTTCCCCCAGATTTCCAAGATCTTCCCAAATTTTCCTGGTGTTTCCCAGATTTTCTGAATTTTTCTTAGATTTTCCCAGATTCTCCCAGTTTTTTCCCAAATTTTCCTTTTTTTTCCATCTTTTCCCCATTTTTTCCTTGCACCAGATTTTCTGAATTTTTCTTGGATTTTCACGGATTTTTCTTGGATTTTCCCAGATTTATCCAGATTTTCCAGGATTTTCCCAGATGTTCCCATTTTTTCCCTGGTTTCCCCCATATTCTTAAATTTCTCCATAATTTTCCCAGATTTTCTTGGTAATTTCCCTTGATTTTCCCACGTTTTTCTTAGATTTTCCCTCTACTTTCTTAAATTTTCCCAGATTTTCCTGTTTTTTTCCCAGATTTTTTCCAGATTTTCCTTTTATTTTCTTAGATTTTCCCAGAATTTTGGGGGTTTGTTTTTCCCAGATTTTTGGGGGTTTTTTCCCCCAGATTTTTGAGGTTTTTTACCAGATTTATGGGATTTTTTCCCAGATTTTTTGGAGTTTTTTCCCCAGATTTTGGAGGTTTTTTCCCCAATTTTTTTGGTTTTTTTTTTTTGTTTACCAGATTTTTTGGGGTTTTTTCCCCAGATTTTTGGAGTTTTTCCCCAGATTTTTCTGCTTTTTCCCAAAATTTTTCTGCTTTTTTTCCCTGATTTTCCCTTTTTTTTCCCAATTTTTCTGATTTTTTCCCATTTCCCCCATTTTCCCCAGCTTCCCTCCCCCAGCTCCCTTCCCAAATTCCCCAAATTTCCCCAAATTTCCCCCAAATTTCCGGGATGGGCTGGGGATTGTTTGGAAAAGGCTCTGGGGGGGTTTTGGGGGGTCCCCACCCCGATCCCGACGCCTTTTCCTGACCCAAATTCCCAAATTTTTGCAGCCCAAACTGACCCCGCAGGAGAAGCTGCGGCTCAGGATGCAGAAGGCTCTCAACAGGCAGTGTGAGCAGTCCCAAAATTCCCTAAAATTCCCAAAAAAAATTCCCAAAAATTCCTCCAAATTCCCTGAAATTCCTCGAAATTCCCCAAAAAATCCCGCCCGGAATTCCTCTGATTTTGCCCAAAATCCCCCCCAAAATCCCCCCCAAATTCCCCCTAAATCTCCTGGGATCCTTAAATCCTCCCCAAATTCCCTGAGATTCTCCAAAAATTCCCCCAAAATTCCTCAAAATTCCTCCAAATTCCCCCCAAAAAATCCCCCCAAAAAATCCCGCCTGGAATTCCTCAGATTTTGCCCCAAAATCCCCCCCAGATTTCCCCTAAACTCCTGGGATCCTTAAATCCTCCCTAAATTCCCTGAGATTCTCCAAAATTCCCCCAAATTCTCCAAAATTTCTCAAAATTTCCCCAAAATTCCTCCAAATTCCCCCAAAAAATCCCCCAAAAAATCCTGCCCGGAATTCCTCAGATTTTGCCCCAAAATTCCCCCCAAAGTCCCCCCCAAATTCCCCTAAATCTCCTGGGATCCTTAAATCCTCCCCAAATTCTCTGAGATTCTCCAAAAATTCCCCCAAATTCCCCTCAAAAATCCCCAAAATTCCTCAAAATTCCCCAAAAAAAATCCCAAAAAATCCCCCTGGAATTTCTCTGAATCCGCCCCAAAATCCAGCTGGGATCACCTGAATTTCCCAAAATTCCCCTAAAATCCCCCTAAAATTCCCACTAAATCTCCTGAGATCCCTAAAATTCTCCCAAAATTCTCCCAAAATTCCCTCAAATTCCCAAAAAAAAAACCCCAAAAAATCTCACCCAAAATTTCTCTGAATCCGCCCCAAAATCCAGCTGGGATCACCTGAATCTCCTTAAATTCCCCCAAAATCCAGCTGGGATCCCAAAACTCCTCCCCAAATTTCTTCAGGGTCCCCAAAATTCCCAAAAATTCCCCCAAAATCCCCAGAATTCCCCAAAATCCCCCAATTTTCCCCCAAAATTCCCTGGAATTCCCCCGTATTTCCCCCTAAAAATCCCCCAAAATTCCCCAAAATTCATCCCAAAATCCCCCAGTTTTTCCCCAAATCCCCCTGGAACCCCCCAGAATTCCCCAAATCCCCAGATTTTACCCCAAATTCCCGGATTTTTCCCCAAATCCCCGGATTTTGCCCCAAATTCCCCGATTTTGCCCCAAATCCCCGGATTTTGCCCCAAATTCCCCATTTTTGCCCCAAATCCCCGGATTTTGCCCCAAATTCCCAGATTTTTCCCCAAATTCCCAGATTTTGCCCCAAATGCCCGGATTTTGCCCCAAATTCCCCGATTTTGCCCCAAATCCCTGGATTTTGCCCCCAAATTCCCAGATTTTTTCCCCAAATCCCCGGATTTTGCCCCAAATGCCCGGATTTTGCCCCAAAATCCTGGATTTTGCCCCAAATTCCTGGATTTTGCCCCAATCCCTGCTCCCTCCGCAGTCAAGGCCGACAAGAAGGCAGCGCAGAGAAGATGCTGCAGCAGGAGCACGAGAGACAGGTGGGGAGGGAAGAAAAAATGGGGAAAAAATGGGAAAAAATGGGTTAAAAATGGGAGAAATTGGTTAAAATGGGTTAAGAGTGGGAAAATGGGTTAAAATGAGGGAAAAAAGGGAAAAAACGGGTTAAAAATGGGTTAAAAAATGGATTAAAAATGGGAATATAATGGGAGAAAAATGGATTAAAAATGGGAATATAATGGAGAAAAATGGGTTAAAATGAGGGAAGAAAGGGAAAAAAACAGGTTAAAATGGGAAAAAAGGGTTAAAAATGGGTCAAATATGGGTAAAAAATGGATTAAAAATTGGAAAATTATGGGAGAAAAATGGAAAAAAAATGGTTAAAATTGGAAAATAATGGGAGAAAAATGGGTTAAAAATGGGAAAAAAGGGAAAAATGGGTTAAAAATGGGAGAGAAATGGATTAAAAATGGGAGAGAAATGGGTTAAAAATGGAGGAAAAATGGGAGAAAAATGGGTAAAAATTGGTTAAAAATTGGAAAATAATGGGAGAAAATGGGTTAAAATGAGGGAAAAAAAGGGAAAAATGGGTTAAAATTGGGTAAAAAATGGGAGAAAAATTGGAAAAAATTGGTCAAAAATTTGAAAATAATGGGGGAAAAAAGGGAAAAAATGGAGAAAAATGGGAGAAAAATGGGAATATAATGGGAGAGAAATGGGTTAAAAATGGGAGAAAAATTAGAGCAAATTGGGAGAAAAAAAGGAGAAAAATGGGAGAAAAATGGGATTGAATTGGGATAGAAATGAGATAGAAATGGGATGGAAATGGATTGGATTGGGATGGGAATGGGATAAAACGGGATTGAACTGGGATAAAAATGGGATGGAAATGGGATTTTGAACTGGGATAAAACCCGGATGGAACTGGGCTGAACTGGGATTGAACTGGGATAAAAACGGGACTGAACTGGGATGAGAATGGGATGGAAATGGGATAAAACCCGACTGAACTGGGATTGAACTGGACTGAACTGGGATTGAACTGGGCTGAACTGGGATTGAACTGGGCTGAACTGGGATCAAACCCGGACTGAACTGGGACTGAACTGGGATAAAACCCGGACTGAACTGGGACTGAACTGGGACTGAACTGGGACTGAACTGGGCTGAACTGGGACTGAACTGGGCTGAACTGGGACTGAACTGGGACTGAACTGGGCTGAACTGGGCTGAACTGGGATTGAACTGGACTGAACTGGGATCAAACCCGGACTGAACTGGGCTGAACTGGGATAAAACCCGGACTGAACTGGGACTGAACTGGGATTGAACTGGGATTGAACTGGGGCTGAACTGGGCTGAACTGGGGCTGAACTGGGACTGAACTGGGATAAAACCCGGACTGAACTGGGGCTGAACTGGGATAAAACCCGGACTGAACTGGACTGAACTGGGATAAAACCCGGACTGAACTGGGATAAAACCCGGACTGAACTGGGACTGAACTGGGATAAAACCCGGACTGAACTGGGACTGAACTGGGATAAAACCTGGACTGAACTGGGCTGAACTGGGATAAAACCCGGACTGAACTGGCTGAACTGGGCGGCGAGGGCCCGGCCCCAGGCTCAGTTTGGGCTCCTCTCTCTGGGCAGGAGCGCGAGGATGAACTGCGCGCCATGGCCCGCAAGATCCGCATGAAGTAATCACTGATCCTCATTAATTACTGATCTTAATTAACTCCCAGATCCTCGTTAACAACTGCCAGATCCTCATTAATCACTGATCCTCATTAATTACTGATCTTAATGAACTGCCAGATCCTCATTAACTGCCAGATCCTCATTAATCACTGATCCTCATTAATTACTGATCTTAATGAACTCCCAGATCCTCATTAACAACTCCCAGATCCTCATTAATCACTGATCCTCATTAATTACTGATCTTAATTAACCGCTGCCAGATCCTCATTAATCACTGCCAAATCCTCATTAACCATTGATCCTCATTAACCACTGATCCTCATTAACCACTGATCCTCATTAACCACTGCCAGATCTTCATTAACCACTGATCCTCGTTAATCACTGATCTTCATTAACTTCCAAATCCTCATTAACAACTCCCAGATCTTCATTAATCACTGCCAGATCCTCGTTAATCACTGATCCTCATTAATTACTGATCTTCATTAATCACTGATCTTCATTAATCACTGATCCTCGTTAACCACTGATCCTCATTAACCACTGATCTTCATTAATCACTGATCCTCGTTAACCACTGATCCTCATTAATCACTGATCCTCATTAATCACTGATCCTCGTTAATCACTGATGCTCATTAACCACTGATCTTTATTAATCATTGCCAGATCCTCGTTAATTATTGCCAGATCCTCGTTAATCATTGCCAGATCCTCATTAACAACTCCCTGATCTTCATTAACCACTCCAGATCCTCATTAACTCCCAGATCCTCATTCCCAGCCCCATTTTCCCCATCCCCAATCCCATTTTCTGCTGTTTTTTCCATTTTCCCTATCCCAAATCCCATTTCCCCATTTTTCCCCCTGTTTTTCCCCATTTTCCCCCATTTCCCCCACTGTTTTTCCCATTTCCTTCCCCATTTTCTCTGCTGTTTTCTCCCCATTTTTCCCCATTTCCCCGCTGTTTTTCCCATTTTCCCCCCTGTTTTTTCCATTTTTCCCCCGTGGTTTTCCCCCATTTTCCCAATTGTTCCCATTTTTCCCCACTGTTTTTTCCCCATTTCCCCCATTTTTTCCCCCATTTCCCCCGCTGTATTTCCCATTTTTCCCACTGTTTTTCCCCATTTTTTCCCCATTTTCCCCGCTGTTTTTCCCATTTTTCCCCACTGTTTTTCCCTGCTATTTTTCCCCACTGTTTTCCCCATTTTCCCCATCCCAAAATCCCATTTCCCCCGCTGGTTTTCCCCATTTCCCCCATTTTTTCCCCATTTCCCCGCTATTTTCCCCATTTTCCCCTACTGTTTTTTCCTATTTTCCCCATATCCCCCTGCTGTTTTTCCCCCATTTTTCCCCATTTTTTCTCCACTGTTTTTTCCCATTTTCCTTGTCCCCAATCCCATTTTCCCCATTTTTCCCCCGTTTTTCCCCATTTTCCCCGCTGTTTTTCCCCTCTGTTTCTCCCCATTTTCCCCAATTTTCCCCCGCTGTTTTTTCCCATTTTTCACCGCTGTTTTTCCCCCCTGATTTTCCCCATTTTTCCCTATTTCCCCCACTGTTTCTCTCCATTTTCCCCCATTTTCCCTGCTGTTTTTCCCATTTCCCCCATTTCCCCGCTGTTTTTCCCCATTTTCCCTGTCCCCAATCCCATTTTCCCCATTTTTCCCCCCCCTGTTTTTTTCCCATTTTTCCCCCGCGGTTTTTCCCCATTTTCCCAATTGTTCCCATTTTTCCCCACTGTTTTTCCCATTTTCCCCATTTTCCCCATTTTTTCCCCATTTTCCCTGCTGTTTTTCCCCATTTTTTCCCCATTTTCCCGCTATTTTTCCCATTTTTCCCCACTGTTTTTCCCTGCTATTTTTCCCCACTGTTTTTCCCCATTTTTCCCCATTTTCCCTCACTGTTTTTTCCCATTTTCCCTACTGTTTTTCCCCTCTGTTTCTCCCCATTTTCTCCATTTTTCCCCCCTGATTTTCCCCATTTTCCCCCACTGGTTTTCCCATTTTTCCCATTTCCCCCGCTATTTTCCCCATTTTCCCCTACTGTTTTTCCCCATTTTTTCCCCATTTTCCCCGCTGTTTTTCCCATTTTTCCCCACTGTTTTTCCCCATCCCAAATCCCATTTTCCCCCACTGTTTTCCCCCATTTTCCCCGCTGTTTTCCTCATTTTTCCCACTGTTTTTCCCATTTCCCCCACTGTTTTTCCCATTTCTCCCCATTTTCCCCATTTTTTCCCTGCTGTTTTTCCCATTTTCCCCCGTTTTTGCCCCGTTCCAGGGAGCGGGAGCGTCGTGAGAAGGAGCGGGAGGAGTGGGAGCGCCAGTACACGCCGCCAGAGCCGCAGCCCCTCCCCGCGCCACCGGTCCGGAAAATCCCAAAATTCCCAAAATTCCCGAAATTCCCAACATTCCCTGGGCCTCGGGGGGGGTGCGGGGCGAGCCCTTCCCAAAATTCCGGGAAAATTCCCAGGAAATCCCCAAAATTCCCCAAATCTTCCCAACCTTCCCTGGGGCTCGGGGGGGTGGTGCAGGGGGGAGCCCTTCCCAAAATTCCCGGGAAAATTCCCGGGAAATTCCCAAAATTCCCCAAATTCCTGAAATTCCCAACATTCCCAACCTTCCCTGGGCCTCGGGGGATGGGGGCGGGAGCCCTTCCCAAAATCCCGGGAAATCCCCAAAATTCTGGGAAAATTCCCGGGAAATCCCCAAAATTCCCAACCTTCCCTGGGCCTCTGGGGGGGCGAGCCCTTCCCAAAATTCCGGGAAAATTCCCCAAAATTCTGGGAAAAATTCCCAGGAAATCCCCAAAATTCCCCAAATTCCCAACATTCCCTGGGCCTCGGGGGGGGGGAGCCCTTCCCAAAATTCCTGGGAAATTCCCAAAATTCTGGGAAAATTCACGGAAAATTCCCCAAATTCCCGACCTTCCCTGGGCCTCTGGGGGGGCAAGCCCTTCCCAAAATTCCTGGGAAAATTCCCGGGGAAATTCCCCAAATTCCCAAAATCCCCAACCTTCCCTGGGCCTCAGGGGGGAAGCCCTTCCCAAAATTCCGGGAAAATTCCCAAAATTCCCCCAAATTCCCCAACATTCCCAACCTTCCCTGGGCCTCTGGGGGGTGGGGGGGGGAGCCCTTCCCAAAATTCCAGGAAAATTCCTGGAAATTCCCAAAATTCTGGGAAAATTCCCGGGAAAATTCCCAAAAATCCGAGAGCTGTTCCCCTGTTCCCCCTTTCTCAGGGGTTTGTGGGCTCTGTTCCCAAAATTTTGGGCAATTCCCAGAAAATTCCCAAAAATCCAGGAGCTGTTCCCACTTTCCCAGGGGTTTTTGGGGCTCTCTTCCCAAAATTCTGGGCAATTCCCAGAAAAATTCCCCAAATTTCTGACATTCCCAACGTTCTCCAGGGCTCTGAGGGTCCCATTCCCAAAATTCTGGGCGATTCCCAAAATTCTGGGGAATTCCCAAAATTCCAGGGGTGGGGGGGAGGCAGAGGGGAAGGATTTGGGGCTGGGAAAAAAATGGGGGAAAAAAAATGGGAATTTTGGCTGGAAAAATGGGGAAAAAATGGGGGAAAAAAGGGATTTTGGGAGAGGCCGAGCTGGGGGATTTTGGAGTGGGAAAATGGGGGAAAAATGGGGGGAAAATGGGGGAAAAAATGGGGGGAAAAAATGGGGATTTTGGGAGCTGATTTGTGGTGTTTTCCCAGCAGGTCGGGAGTACAGCTCCTCCCGGAGGTACGGGCCGCAATTCCCGGATTTCTGGGATTTCTGGGATTTCTGGATTTCTGGGATTCCCGGAGATCCTGGGGTTGATCCAGTGCCGGTCCCTGATCCCAGAGATCCCAAATTTCCTTCAGTTCATTCCCAGGAATCCCAAGTTTCCCATTTTCCCTGATCTCAGAAATCCCAAATTTCCCATTTTCCCAGGAATCCCAAATTTCCCATTTTCCCCCTTTTCCTGTTTTCCCAGATCCCCAAAAATCCCAAATTTCCCATTTTCTCAGAAACCCAAATTTCCCATTTTCCCAAATCCCAAGAATCCCAAATTTCACATTCCTGTTTTCCCAGAAATCCCAAATTTCCCATTTTCCCCTTTTCCCGTTTTCCCAGGGATCCCAAATTTCCCATTTTTTCCCCATTTTTTCCCCATTTTCCAGGAATCCCAACTTTCCCATTTTCCCATTTTCCCAGATCCCAGAAACCCCAAATTTCCCCTTTCCCCTTTTCCTGTATTCCAGGAATCCCAAATTTCCCCTTTTCCCAGGGATCCCAAATTTCCCCATTTTCCCAGGAATCCCAACCGTTTCCATTTTTCCCATTTCCCCAAATCCCAGGGATCCCAAATTTCCCATTTTTTTCCAGTTTTTCCCAATTTTTCCATTTTCCCCCTTTTCCCAGAAATCCCAAATTTCTCCATTTCCCCTTTTCCCAGGAATCCCAAATTTCCCATTTTCCCCCCATTTTCCCGTTTTCCCAGAAACCCCCAACTTTCCCATTTTCCCCGATCCCAAATTTCACATTCCCCTTTTCCCAGAAATCCCAACTTTCCCCATTTTCCCAAATCCCAGGGATCCCAAATTTCCCATTTTTTCCAGTTTTTCCCAATTTTTCCCATTTTCCCCCTTTTCCCAGGAATCCCCAATTTCCCCTTTCCCCTTTCCCCATTTTCCCAGGGATCCCAAATTTCCCATTTTTCCCCCCCATTTTCCCCTTTTCCCAGAAACCCCAAATTTCCCATTTTTCCCAAATCCCAGGGTTTCCCCTTTTCCCAGGAATCCCAACTTTCCCATTTTTCCCCCATTCTCCCTTTTCCCAGGAATCCCAAATTTCCCATTTTTCCCAAATTTCCCATTTTTCCCCCATTTTCCCCCCATTTTCCCAGAAATCCCAACTTTCCCATTTTCCCCTTTTCCCAGGAATCCCCAATTTCCCATTTCCCCTTTTCCCATTTTCCCAGAAACCCCAAATTTCCCATTTTTCCCCATTTTCCCTTTTCCCAGAAATCCCAAATTTCCCAAATTTCCCAAATTCCCCATTTTTCCCCCATTTTCCCCTTTTCCGAGAAACCCCAAATTTCCCATTTCCCCTTTTCCCAGAAACCCCAAATTTCCCCTTTTCCCCTTTTCCCAGAAATCCCAAATTTCCCATTTTTCCCCATTTTCCCTTTTCCCAGGAATCCCAAATTTCCCATTTTCCCCGATCCCAAATTTCACATTCCCCTTTTCCCAGAAATCCCAATTTTCCCATTTTCCCGTTTTCCCAGAAATCCCAAATTTCCCAAATTTCCCATTCTCCCTTTTCCCAGAAATCCCAAATTTCCCAAATTTCCCATTTTTCCCAAATTTCCCAAATTTCCCATTTTTCCCCCATTTTCCCCAGGCACTCGCGGTCGCACTCGCGGAGCCCCCACTACCGGCACTGAGGGACGGAGCCCCCCCAATAAATCCATGGAAAATCCCAAATCCCTCCTGGAACCATCAGTGCCCGCGGGAAACGGGGCAAAAAATGGAAAAATTGGGAAAAAACGGGAAAAAAATGGGAAAAATCGGGAAAAAAAAGCCAGAAAAATGAGAGAAATTCAGGGAAAATTGGGGGAAAATGATGGAAAAAAGGGGAGAAAAGAAGGAAAAATGATGGGAAAAAGGGGGGGAAAAATGAGGAGAATTATGGGAAAAAGGAAGAAAAAAGAGGAAAAAGCTGGAAAAAAGGAAAAGCTGAAAAAAGGGGTGGGAAATGGGTGAAAAATTGGGGAAAATTTATGGGGAAAAGGAGAAAAGCCAGGAAGAAAAGGGGAAAGCTGGAAAATTGAGGAAAAATGATGGGAAATGGGGGATAAGCAGGAAAAATTCTGGAAAAAAGGGGGAAATCAGTAAAAATAGGGAAAAGATGGGAAAAAGGGGGAAAGTCAGGAAAAAGGGGGGAAATGTCTCAAAAAAGAGTGAAAAGCTGGAAATGGGAGTAAAAGTCTGGAAAATTGGGAAGGAGCCAGGAAAATGGGGGTAAAATAAAAAAAAGGAAAAAAAGGAGGGAAAAGTCAGGAAAAAGGGGGAAAATTGGGAGAAAAATTGAGGAAAAAAGGTTGGAAAAGGGCAGGGAAATAAAAAAAGGGGGAAATGGGGAAAAAAACTGGAAAAAGGATGGAAAAGCCAAGGGAAAAATGGGAAAAAATGATTAAAAGTGGGAAAAGACAGAAAAAATGGAAAAATGAAAGGAAAAACAGGGAAAAGGAGGAGAAAAGTGGGAAAAGGCAGAAAAAATCAGGAAAAATTGGGAAAAATCGGAAAAATCAGGAAAAAGTGGGAAAAGGCTGGGGAAAGGGAAAATTTTAGGAAAAAGGCAGAACAAGGATGTGGAAAAGCAGGAAAATGGATTTATTCCCTTGGGGCCGATTGCAGGAATTGCTGGGTTATTCCAGAGGGAAGGAAATTCCAGAACATCCCCAGAGCGCAGCAGGGCCGAGGCCTGAACTCCCAGAGGGGTCCGCAGAGAATCCACCTGGAAAATGGGGAAAATCAGGGAAAATCAGGGAAAATCCAAAGGAAAATGGGGAAAATCAGGGAAAATCCAGAGAAAAATGGGAAAAATCAGGGAAAATCCAAAGGAAAATTGGGAAAAGTCAGGGAAATCCAGAGAAAAATGGGGAAAAGTCAGGGAAAATCCAAAGGAAAATTGGGAAAAGTCAGGGAAAATCCAGAGAAAAATGGGGAAAATCAGGGAAAATCCAGAGAAAAATGGGAAAAATCAGGGAAAATCCAGAGAAAAATGGGGAAAATCAGGGAAAATCCAAAGGAAAATGGGGAAAATCAGGGAAAATGGGGAAATCCCAGAGAAAAAGGCAGAAAATGGGGAAATTCCAGAGAAAAGGGCAGAAAATGGGGGAAAGTCAGGAAAAATGGGGAAATCCCAGAGAAAAGGGCAGAAAATGGGGAAAAGTCAGGGAAAATGGGGAAATTCCAGAGAAAAATCAGAAAAATGGGGGAAATCAGGGAAAATCCAAGAAAAATGGGGAAAAGTCAGGGAAAATGGGGGAAATCGGGGAAAATGGGGAAATCCCAGAGAAAGGGCAGAAAATGGGGGAATTCCAGAGAAAAAGGCAGAAAATTGGGGAAAATCAGGGAAAATCCAAAATAAAATGGGGAAAAATCGGGGAAAAGCGGGAAAATTACAGAGAAAAAGATGGAAAAGGCGGCGGGGGGGGGGGGGGGGGGGGACAAGAGAAAAAAGGGGAAAAAAAGGGGAATAAGGGCAGGAAAAAAGAAGGGGAAAATGTGGAAAAAGGGCTGGAAAAAAGGTGCAAAAGGCAGAAATCGGGGCTGACCTGGAAGGCCCCGGACTGGACATCGGCGGCCCCGAAGTCGGCGAGGACCCGGAGCCCGTTCCAGAGGCAGAACCGGCTCCGCTTCCCCCGGCCCGGCCCAGGAGCCGCAGGAACCGAGCCCGGAGCGCGGCCCGGGCGCCCTGGACAGCGGCGAGGTCCCGGGAATGGTCCCGGGAATGGTCCGGTGCTGGTCCCGGTGCCGGTCCCGGTGCCGGTCGAAGCCGCGGCTGCCGGAGCTGTCGGGGCCCCGCGGGAGCCGCAGGATCCCCACGGGAACCGGGATGGGATCGGCCATGGAGCGGCTGGGAAACGGGAATTGAGGGAAAATCGGGGGGGGAAAAGGGAGAAAAAAGGGAGAAAAATGGAAAAAGGGAGGGTGAGGATTCCAAGGGAGTCCCGGTCCCGGGTGGGATTCCCGGTCCCGTGTGCGATTCCCGGTCCCGATCCCATTTAGGTCTCCCGAGTGGAATTCCCTGTCCCGATCCCCGTCTCGTGTGGGATTCCCGGTCCCAATCCCGGTCCCGTACCCGTGTGGGATTCCCGGTCCCGTTCCCAGCCCCGGTTCCGGTCCCGTACCCGTGTGGGATTCCCGGTCCCGTACTCGTGTGGGATTCCCGGTCCTGTACCCGTGTGGGATTCCCGGTCCCAATCCCGGTCCCGTACCCGTGTGGGATTCCCGGTCCTGTACCCGTGTGGGATTCCTGGTTCCAGTCCCGTTCCCAGCCCCGGCCCCGGTCCCGTACCCGTGTAGGGATTCCCGGTCCCGTACCCGTCTGGGATTCCCGGTCCCGGTCCCGTTCCCGGCCCCGGTTCCGGTCCTGTACCCGTGTGGGATTCCCGGTCCCGGTCCCGTTCCCAGCCCCGGCCCCGGTCTCGTTCCCGTGTGGGATTCCCGGTCCCAATCCCGGTCCCGTTCCCAGCCCCGGTTCCGGTCCCAATCCCGGTCCCGTACCCGTGTGGGATTCCCGTCCCAGTCCCGTTCCCAGCCCCGGTTCCGGTCCCGCTCCGCTCCCCACGCGGGTCCCCGGCCCAGCGCTGCCGCCGCTCCGCCGATTCGCCACGGGCACCCCCGAGACCTCCGCACGCCCGCTGCCACCGGAGCCCCCTCACCGCTCTCTCCCCTCTCCCCTCTCTCCCAAATTCCCCCAAATTCCCCAAATTTCCCCAAATCCCCCAAATTCCCGCTCCGTGCCGAATCTGCCGCCCCTCACCCCGCCGCAGATTCGCCGCTGCAGATTCGCCACGAGCGCCGGCCGGGGCGCTCCACCTCCTCCTCCCGTTATCTCCGTTCTTTCCCCGCCATCTCCTCCCTCGTCCCGTTCCCCTCCCTTTCCGCCCCTCGGTGATTTTTTCCGGAGCTCCGATCTCGGCGGGTTCTCCCCTCACGGCCGTGGCGAAAGTGCGGCCGTTGCGGCCGTGGCGCGGGGCCGTTGCGGCGGCGGCGGCTCCGCTCGGTGCCGCTGCCGGTGCCGCTGCCGCTGCCGGGGCCTCCCTCGCTGCGGGGCGGCCCCCGAGGCCGCGGGCGATGCCCCCCGGGCGGCCCTGAAGCACCGAGAGCTCCGCCATGGACGAGGCCGAGCCCGCGGCGGGGGACGCGGCCCCGGCGGCCGCCGAGGCCTCGCCGGGGGACGGGCGGGGGAGGCCCGGGGCCAAGCGGGTCACGTTCCCCTCGGACGAGGACATCGTGTCCGGGGCTGTGGAGCCTAAGGACCCCTGGAGACACGGTGAGGGGGCAGGAGGGACCGGGAAGGGACAGCGGGGACCGTGAGGGAGCCGTGAGGGGATAGCGGGGACTGTGAGGGGACAGCGGGGAACGTGAGGGGACAGCGGGGACCGTGAGGGGACTGAGGGCACCGGGGACCGTGAGGGGACAGCGGGGACCGTGAGGGGACAGCGGGGACCGTGAGGGAACCGTGAAGGGACAGCGGGGACTGTGAGGGGACAGCGGGGACCGTGAGGGAACCGTGAGGGGACAGCGGGGACTGTGAGGGGATAGCGGGGACCGGGAGGGGACAGCGGGGACCGTGAGGGAACCGTGAGGGGATAGCGGGGAACGTGAGGGAACTGAGGGGACCGGGAAGGGACAGCGGGGACCGTGAGGGAACCGTGAGGGGACAGCGGGGAACGTGAGGGGACCGTGAGGGGATACCGGGGACCGTGAGGGGACAGCGGGAACCGTGAGGGGACCGTGAGGGGGCACCGGGGACCGTGAGGGGACAGCGGGGACCGTGAGGGGACCGTGAAGGGACACCGGAAACCGTGAGGGGACAGCGGGGCTTGGGAAGCGGCCTGGGAACAGTCCCAGAATGGGCCAAAAAGCCTGAAAAGAGCCCGAAAATTGTCCCAACAATACCCCCAGACCGGCTTGAAAACAGAGCCAATAATACCACAAAAACCGCTTGAAAACAGTCCCAATAATACCCCAAAATGGCTTGAAAACAGTCCAAATAATACCCCCAAAATGGCTTGAAAACAATCCCAATAATACTCCCAAATCCAGCCTGAATAATAGCCCAAAACCTGCCCAAATAATACCCCAAACCACCCCAAAATCAGCCTGAACAATAGCCCAAAACCCAGCCTGAATAATACCCCAAAACTACTCAAAAACGTGCCCAAAACTCATATTAACAGACTGAATAATACCTGAATAATGGGCCTGAATAATACCCCAAACCACCCCAAAACCAGCCTGAAAACAGCCCGAAAATGACCCAAATAATACCCAAAAATCACCCCAAAAACTGCCTGAAAATGACGCAAATAACACCCCAAAACCACCCCAAAAACCCACCTGAAAACAGCCTGAAATCAAACTGGAAATGCCCCAAAAACCGACCTAAAAACAGCCTCAAAATTCCACAAATCACCCCAAAAGCCAGCCTGAAAATGCTCCTCAAATACCCCAAAAACTGGCGTGAAAACAGCCCCAAAATCCCCCTGAATCACCCCAAAAATCAGCTGGAAAATGGCCCCAAAACAGCCTGAAAAATAACCCCCAAAACCAATCAGAACACATCCAGAAAACAGCCCCAAAATCAGCCCTAAAATGCTCCCAAACCACCCCAAAATTGCCATCAAAATACCCCAAAAACGTCATAAAAATACCCCAAAACCAGCCTGAAAATGCCCCCAAATTATCTTCAAATTGTCTTTAAAATGTCCCAAAAATACCCCAAAAATACCCTAAAAATGCCCCAAACCACCTCAAAAATGCCTGAAAATCAGGATTTTTTAGGATCCCAACAGGAATTTTGGGATCCTGACAGAATTTTTTGGATCCCAACAGGAATTTTGGGATTTTTTTCCCACTTTTTCCCCTCCTGGTGCTGCCCCCCTGCAGCTCCAGCTCAGGTTTCCTGCTATGGATCCTCATGAATTATTCCTGATTCCATTTCATGAATTATTCCTGATTCCATCAATTATTCCTGATTCCATCAATTATTCCTGATTTCCTTGGGATCCATTTCAGGGTCCAATTCCAGCGTTTTTCCCCCCAAACCCTCCTGGATTTCTGGGATCCCAAAATCCCAACTCCAGAGGGGGTGGCAAAAATCCCAGAAAAAGGAAAAATCTCTTTATTCTCCCTAAATTCCCTTTTCCACCCTTTTCCCCCCATTTTCCATCCTTTTTTTCCCATTTTCCCTCCTTTTTTCCACCTCTTTTCCCTCCTTTCCCCCACCCTTTTTTCCTATTTCTCCATCCCTTTTCCATCCCTTTTTCCCACCATTTTCCATATTTTTCCATCTTTTTTTCCCTTTTTTACATTTTTCCCCTTTTCCCTCCTTTCCCCTCTTTTCCCCACCCTTTTTGTCCCTCTTTTTTGCCATTTTCCCACCCTTTTCCCTCATTTCCCCATCATTTTCCTCCCCTTCTCCCCCCCTTTTCCTTCATTTCCCTTTTTTCCCCCTTTCCCCTCATTTCCCCCCTTTTCCTCCCTTTTCCCCCTCATTTTTCCACCCTTTCTTCCCCTTTTTCCACCTTTTCCCCTCATTTTTCATTTATTTTCTCTTTCCCCCCCTTTCCCCATTCCCCCCTTTCCCCCCCTTTTCCCCCCTTTTTCCCCATTTCCCCCATTCCCCATTTCCCCCCATTTCCCCCTTTCCCCCCATTTCCCCCCTTCCCCCATTTTCCCCTTTTCCCCACTTTCCCCTCATTTTTTCCCAATTTTTCCCCTTTCCCCCTTTCCCTCCTTTCCCCCTTTTCCCCCTTTCCCCCCCATTTTCCCCCATTTCCCCATTTTCCCCATTCCCCCTTTTCCCCATTTCCCCCCCTTTTCCCCATTCCCCCATTTCCCCCCATTCCTCCATTTTCCTCCTTTCCCCCATTTCCCCATTTTCCCCCCATTTCCCCCATTCCCCCATTTCCCTCTTTCCCCCCCATTTTCCCCATTTCCCCCCTTTCCCCCCCATTTTTCCCTTTCCCCATTTTCCCCCTTTTTCCCCCATTTCCCCCTTTTCCCCCATTCCCCCCCATTTCCCCATTTTCCCCCCATTTTCCCCTTTTCCCCATTTCCCCCTTTCCCCCCCTTTCCCCCCCTTTCCCCATTTCCCCCATTTCCCACTTTCCCCCCACCTTTCTCCCCATTTCCCCCATTTTCCCCAATTTTCCCCATTTCCCCTATTCCCCACCTTTCTATCCATTTCCCCCATTCCCCCATTTTCCCCCATTTTCCCCATTCTCCATTCCCCCATTCCCCCCATTCCCCCCATTTTCCCCCCTTTCCCCCTTTCCCCCCTTTCTCCCCCATTTTCTTCCCCATTTCCCCCTTTCCCCCCCATTTCCCCATTCCTCCATTTCCCATTCCCCCATTTTTCCCCCATTTTTCCCCCATTTTCCCCCCATTTTCCCCCCATTTCCCCCCATTTCTCCACTTTTTCCCCCATTCCCCCATTTTTCCCCCCATTTCCCCCTTTTCCCCCCATTTCCCCATTCCCCATTCCCCATTTTCCCCCCCTTTCCCCCATTTTCCCCCCTTTCCCCCCCACTTTCCCCCCTTTCCCCCTTTTCCCCCTTTCTCCCCCATTTCCCCATTTCCCCCTTTTCCCCCATTTTCCCCCATGTTTCCCCATTCCCCATTTCCCCATTCCCCCCATTTCCCCCCTTTCCCCCATTCCCCATTTTCCCCCATTCCCCCTTTTCCCAATTTCCTCCCATTTCCCCCCTTTCCCCCATTCCCCATTTTCCCCCATTCCCCCTTTTCCCCATTTCCCCCATTTCCCCCTCTTTTCCCCATTCCCCCCTTTCCCCCCATTCCCCCCATTTTTCCCCCATTTTCCCCCCTTTCCCATTTCCCCCTTTTTCCCATTTTCCCCCCTTTCCCCAATTTTCCCCCTTTCCGCATTTCCCCCATTTTCCCCTTTCCCCATTTTTTCCCCATTTCGCCCCTGATTTCCCCTTATTTTCCCCCTAATTTTTCCCCCATCTTTCCCCGTTTTCCCCCTAACTTTTCCCTGTTTTCCCTATGTTTTCCCCCCGTCTTTCCTCCTGATTTTTCCCTGTTTTTCCCCCTGATTTCCCCCGTTTTCCCCCTGATTTCCCCCCGTTTTCCCCCTGATTTTCCCCCTGTTTTCCCCATATTTCCCCCCTGATTTCCCCCCATTTTTCCCCCATTTCCCCCTTTTCCCCCTTTCTCCCCATTTTCTTCCCCATTTCCCCCATTTCCCCCCATTTTCCCCCATTCCCCCATTTTTCCCCATTTCCCCCTTTCCCCCCCATTCCCCCATTTCCCCCATTTCCCATTTTCCCCCCCATTTTTCCCATTTTTCCCATTTTCCCCATGTTTCTCCCATTCCAGCCCACAATGTGACGGTTGATGAGATCGTGGCCGCCTATCGCCAGGCCTGCCTCAAGCTCAACTGCCGCCAGAGCCCCAAGCTGCTCAAGCAGATCCAGGTCACTCCCAAAATCCCCTTTTTACCCCCAAAAATCCCCTTTTCCCCCAAAAAATCCCTTTTTTTTCCCCCAAAAAAATCCCTTTTTTCCCTCCTCAAAAATCCCCTTTTTTCCCACCAAAATCCCCCTTTTTACCCCCAAAAATCCTTTTTTTTCCCCGTAAAAAATCCCCATTTTTCCCCCTAAAAAATCCTTTTTTTTCCCCAAAAAATCCCCTTTTCCCCCCCAAAAATCCCCTTTTTTCCCCCAAAAAATCCCATTTCCCCCCCAAAAATCCCCCCCTTTTTTTCCCCAAAAAAATCCCCTTTTTCCCCCAAAAATCCCCTTTTTTCACCACAAAAAAAATCCCCTTTTCTCCCCCAAAAATCCCCTTTTTTCCCCAAAAAAATCCCCTTTTTCACCCCCAAAAATCCCCTTTTTTCCCCCCAAAAATCCCATTTTTTCCCTTTGTTTTTCCCAAAAAATCCCATTTTTTCCCTTTGTTTTTCCCAAAAAATCCCATTTTTTCCCTGTGTTTTCCCCCACAATTCCCATTTTTCCCTGTGTTTGACCAAACCCATCCCTTTTTTCCCCCAATTCCCATTTTTTGGTGTTTTGCAG